GACTACGAGGCTCTGGGCAGGAAATTGAAGCAATTAAATGCACAAATTGTCATCTCATCTGTCCTCCCAGTTGAACGACGTGGCCCAGGGAGAGAGGGAAAAATAGTGGAAGTGAACAGCTGGCTTCGCAAATGGTGTAAACAGGAACGGTTTGGATTCTTAGATCACGGACTGCAGTTTCTTGAAGATGGACTTCTGGCAAGCGATGGGCTGCACCTCACAACGGTTGGGAGAAATGTTTTTGCCAAAAATCTCAGAAACCTCATCAGGAGGGCTTTAAACTGACTAATGTGGGGAGGGAGACAGTGCTCCTGAAGGTAGGAGTCTATCAATTGATGAAGATGATCATCCAAATGTCATAGACCAAATGGAACAAACAGCACGCAGACCTAGTGGTGGGAGGAAAAATCCTTAAATAAGAGACACGGGGGAATGATTAATGGACTTCAATGTCTGTACACTAATGCGCAAGGCATGGGAAATAAACAAGATGAGCTTGAGCTCTTGGTACAGCAAACTAAATATGACATAATAGGCATCACTGAAACCTGGTGGGATAAGTCCCACGATTGGAATGTAATAATGGAGGGATATAATCTATTTCAGAGAAACAGACCAGACAAGAAAGGAGGAGGAGTGGCGTTATATGTCAGGGATGTGTATACCTGTGAAGAGATCCAAGATTTAGAACCTCAAAGCCAAAGTGAGAGCATTTGGGTCAAAATTAAGGGAGAGAAGAATAACAGTGACCTCATTGTGGGAGTTTACTATAGATCCCCAAGCCAAACGGAGGACATAGATGATGCCTTCCTGGAACAGATGGCCAAGCATGCAAAAGGAAGGGAGATAGTAGTAATGGGGGACTTCAATTACCCGGATATTTGTTGGATGTCAAACTCAGCCAAGAGCATAAGGTCAAACAGATTCCTCACTGGCCTTGCAGACAACTTCATTGTCCAGAAAGTGGGAGAAGCAACAAGAGGAACAGCCATTTTAGATCTGGTCCTAACCAATGTTGATGACCTGGTTAGTGGGGTAGAAGTGGAAGGATCATTAGGCGCGAGTGATCATGCTCTTCTGAAGTTTACTATACAGCGGAAAGGAGCAGCCAAGCATACTAGGACTCAATTTCTTGACTTTAAGAAAGCCGACTTCATAAAACATAGGGAAGTGCTGGGTGAGATCCCATGGACAGTAATACTAAAAGGAAAGGGAGTTCATGATGGTTGGGAGTTTGTTAAGAGGGAGATAGTAAAAGCACAACGTCAGGCAATACCAATGAGAAGAAAACATGGAAGGTGCCTAAAGAAGCCAGGGTGGCTTTCTAAAGAACTTTTAACTGAGTTAAGATTAAAAAAGGATGTGTACAAAAAATGGAAAAGGGGGGAAACCACCAAAGAGGAATTCAAACAAATAGCCAGCACGTGTAGACACAAAGTCAGAAAAGCTAAAGTACAGAATGAACTCAGGCTTGCTAGAGAGGTTAAAAGCAACAAAAAAGGCTTTTATGGGTATGTTCGTAGCAAAAGGAAGAACAAAGAAACAGTGGGGTCACTCAGAGGAGAAGATGGTGAAATGCAAACAGGGGACACAGAAAGGGCTGAACTCCTCAATGCCTTCTTTGCCTCAGTCTTCTCCGATAAAGAAAACAATGCCCGACCTGAAGAATTTGGAGCAAATGATTCAGCAGAGGAAACACAGCCCAGAATAACTAAGGAGATAGTACAAGAATACTTGGCTAGTTTAGATGTATTCAAGTCTCCAGGGCCAGATGAACTGCATCCAAGAGTATTAAAAGAACTGGCAGATGTGATCTCAGAACCACTGGCAGTCATCTTTGAGAATTCCTGGAGAACAGGCGAAGTCCCGGCAGACTGGAGGAGGGCAAATGTTGTCCCTATTTTCAAAAAGGGGAAAGAGAGGACCCAAATAATTACCGCCCAGTCAGTCTGACATCAATACCAGGGAAGATTCTGGAGCAGATCATTAAGCAAACAGTCTGTGAGCACCTAGAAAGGAATGCTGTGATCACCAATAGTCAGCATGGATTTCTGAAAAATAAGTCATGTCAGACTAACCTGATCTCATTTTTGACAGAATTACAAGCCTGGTAGAACGCAGTGGATGTAGCCTACCTTGATTTCAGCAAGGCATTTGACAAGGTGCCCCATGATATTCTTGTAAAGAAGCTGGTAAAATGTGGTCTTGACTATGCTACCACTCAGTGGATTTGTAACTGGCTGACTGACCGAACCCAAAGGGTGCTCATCAATGGTTCCTCTTCATCCTGGAGAAGAGTGACTAGTGGGGTGCCACAGGGTTCTGTCTTGGGCCCGGTCTTATTCAACATCTTTATCAACCCCTTGGATGATGGACTCAAGGGCATCCTGATCAAATTTGCAGATGACACCAAACTGGGAGGGGTGGCTAACACCCCAGAGGACAGGATCACACTTCAAAATGACCTTGACAGATTAGAGAACTGGGCCAAAACAAACAAGATGAATTTTAACAGGGAGAAATGTAAAGTATTGCACTTGGGCAAAAAAATGAGAGGCACAAATACAAGATGGGTGACACCTGGCTTGAGAGCAGTACATGTGAAAAGGATCTAGGAGTCTTGGTTGACCACAAACTTGACATGAGCCAACAGTGTGACGCGGCAGCTAAAGCCAATGCAATTCTGGGCTGCATCAATAGGAGTATAGTATCTAGATCAAGGGAAGTAATAGTGCCACTGTATTCTGCTCTGGTCAGACCTCACCTGGAGTACTGTGTCCAGTTCTGGGCACCACAGTTCAAGAAGGACACTGACAAACTGGAACGTGTCCAGAGGAGGGCAACCTAAATGGTCAAAGGCCTGGAAACGATGCCTTATGAGGAACGGCTAAGGGAGCTGGGCATGTTTAGCCTGGAGAAGAGGAGGTTAAGGGGTGATATGATAGCCATGTTCAAATATATAAAAGGATGTCACATAGAGGAGGGAGAAAGGTTGTTTTCTGCTGCTCCAGAGAAGCGAACACGGAGCAATGGATCCAAACTACAAGAAAGAAGATTCCACCTAAACATTAGGAAGAACTTCCTGACAGTAAGAGCTGTTCAACAGTGGAATTTGCTGCCAAGGAGTGTGGTGGAGTCTGCTTCTTTGGAGGTCTTTAAGCAGAGGCTTGACAACCATATGTCAGGAGTGCTCTGATGGTGTTTCCTGCTTGGCAGGGGGTTGGACTCGATGGCCCTTGTGGTCTCTTCCAACTCTATGATTCTATGATTCTTCCCCCCTACATACTTTGACATCCTTCTCCTCAGTTACCAAGCTTCCTTCAAAAAAGTGTAGGCCAGGGAGTACCAGTAACTTCTATGGCACCCATAAAAGTTCTCAGCAGACATGCCCCCAACAAGCCCACAAAGCCCAGGAACCTGTGCTTCCTGCTCAGTTCCTGTCGGCATTGGCTTGGCCTAGCCTACACTGAACCACCCCTTTAAACTTGCTCATTTTTCACTGGGTGCAGCCGAAAGCTTCTCTGCAAGCAAATGTGGTGTTGTGCCAGGCCTTCACAGCAGCCATCTTGTCACTGCCACCCATTGCACTATTTCAAGAGCATGAATGTGCCAACTGACCCATGAAACTTCATAATCCAGTGCCGGTTCTCAATGCTTACCTTGTACTGCCAGTGAAGCGTGAAAGGGTTTTCCCTCACCATACCTCAACATTTTGGGGGCCCTGTACCCCCTCAGCCCCACTCTTATACCTATGTCCTCTTCCCACACAAATTTACTTGCTTTTCCACTAATAGCAACTGCACAGATTTTAATACTTTTTTTTTATTACCAGCACCTTGCTCCTTAGCAATTTAGATATGCCTAAGCCAGGCATGTCCAAAGTTTGGCCCGTGGGCCAGTCGATTTAATCTGGCCCCTGCAGAAGTTTATTTCCTGGGTTAAAATTCTACAAAAAGCTTAACAACTTCAGTCCTAAAAAAAGCTCAACTTAAAAAAGGTCAACCACTTTGGTTGGCCCTCACACATGTTCATCAAATCTGGCCCTCTTTAAAAAAGTTTGAACACCCCTAGTAAGCATTCTGGTGACATCATTTGTCTCAGAAAAGCTTGGAAGAACCTAGACATGAAGGAAGTCAATGTACCATAGTCAGTAAAACATGGCATATGAGTCAAGACTGATAGGGTTGGGTTGGGTTTGATTAGCTTGAAGTAGAAAAGATGGAAATCTGTAAGACTTCAAAATGCAAAGACCCTTGTCTATCCTGACTGTAGTATGTCCCATTGGTTTTACCATAAGATGTATTTCTCCCTGAGTGTAAGGATGTCTCCAAGGCCACCACCATCACTCAGGCATGAGCCAGGCAACTCCAGTGCACCCTTGAGCAAAGGGAAGATTCTCCAACTCTGGGCTAGGTTCTCTTCCTTTCTCCTATCTTACCTCAGAGGCCTATTCAGAACTGAGGCAGCAACAGGAACACAAACAACTTTCTCTGAAGCTTCAGTTTTCGGCCTTCAAATGATAGGAGCCTAAACCCACTTGGAGATATCCAACACAAGAGAGAAACACATACACATCACTGGATATGGTCCATCGTCCTTTCCCAAGGCAGGAACAGACAGACTGAAGCTTCCTCCAAGGTTCTGTGAAATTTGTTCTAGAAGACTGAGCTGTTTGTTTTTTACCTTCTTTGACGAAGGGCTCGCTATAATTAAAATGTAAATAGTCTGCACCAACTGAAATCTGTTTAATAAAATATAATTTTCTCGACCATCAGCACAACATTATGTTTTTTCTCTTCCCACCAAATAAAATACTTTGCTCTTGTGTCAGAGCAGATGCAGTCAAGATGATCCATGTGTGAACATTTCTGACTAAAGATGAAACAGGAAATACTTAATATTTGCAAGCATTCCTTACCTGCAGTTTTATCCATTCATTCTCCGAACAGCTGTGAAACTGCCACCAGACCAATAACAAAAAAAGCACCAGACTAACATAGTGGTCAGTTTTGATTCTAGCTTTTATTGATGACCCTAAAATATGCCTCAGAATAATTAAATACTGCCCCATGGCATTAAAAATATGCACAAATGTATCAAAATATTTGTATTCCGAAGATTATGTACATATCATACACTTTACAGTCATTTATGTAAACAGGAATCTCTTTTCTCCGTGTGATAAATCTTTTTTTGTAACATTTAGAAAACCTCAAATCCGCACACACACAGTCCTATGAAATGTTAAGAGTACCCCTACTCTTAAATATATATATAAAGGAAATAGTTCAAAGCATCTACAAAAGCAAAATTAATAATTAGGTTAGTACAAAAATGAATTATATTAAATTCATATAAAAAAGTTAAAATAGTAGCCTATGGGTCATATATATGCAAATTCTTAAAAGATGAGAGGAAGTGTTGGAGCCAGCCCAAGACCTTTTGCTTCCAAAATCTGAAGCGTAAGGTGGTGCCTCTATCCCAATCCATGTGTAGAAGCTAACTGGCCTGGCAGATTAATCTTACTTCCAACACTGGCAGCAGGACATCATCTTCTGCCGCATCTGTGGGTGGCAGGTTAGCTCAGCGGCCAAAGGGCAGGTCATGTGGCACACACAATTCTGTCCTCCAATACCTTATCCTATTCCCTGCTCACTAGTATCCCTAGGAACAGAAGCGCATGAAGGATGAGTGGTACAGCATATTCATGGATATAAGCTCTGCAACTCAGCTACGATCTTACAAGCCCACGAGCACAGAACTTGCCACGTGTCCTCAGACAAAGCAACAGTCACACATTGTGTCGCCTGCAGAAATCACAGCTAAGCACTACACCAGCATCACCGAGGTCCTAATTTCTGGCTAGGCCATTGTGAACTGTTGCCCGTTAACCTGGCCCACACCCGTGATGCTAACCGTACAAGATTGCAGGTGGGTAGGCAGAAGGAAACAGGTGAGTCATTCTCTTGGCCCATGTGGTTACCGTTAAAATTGTAAGGAGAAACAATAATATTAGTGGGAGAATAAGAAGCAACAGAGTTGGTGGTCCAGTGATTCAGGTACGGTGGGGCTAGTCTGTCACTGCTATCAATTCCCAGTGTCTGACATTTAACAATGACGACTTGATTTTTAACCCTTTTGAAGCCAACGTACCATCACATTAAAAAATACAAATAAAATATGTAATGGGGGTATGCAACATATATGATCTGATTGCGGTCCCCAGTTTGAACCCTTAGAGGGATTATGCGGTATAGGACTTGTGTGGCTAAAGATGTGTATCCTCCACCATGCCAGGAAAGAACCACCCATTTTATTTCTGCCAGGTGAAGCCTTTCCGCTTGCCTGGAAAGCAGCACATCATTAGGGAGGTGAGGAATATGGACCTTGTAAGCAGTCCAGTGTACCACAATTTGTACCACACACTTTTCTAACATAAAATAGAGCTACTGATCCAAGTATCAACAGATCAACATACCATCCAATTACTCTTTTTTCACATTCTTTTCATTCTTCTGTCAAACATAATACTAAATTTTATTTGAGGTAAGAGGAGACCATCATCTCCACCCACTTATGATAGGAAAGGTCTGGTTTCAAATCTCATGTTAGCCATATATTCAGTATATGCCTTAATACTATCCAGTCTTTTACACCGGCTAAGTGACCAGAGGGCAAGAAGAAGAAGAAGAAGAAGAAGAAGAAGAAGAAGAAGAAGAAGAAGAAAAGGAGGAGTTTGGACTTGATATCCCACCTTTCACTCCCCTTAAGGAGTCTCAAAGGGGCTAACAATCTCCTTTCCCTTCCTCTCCCACAACAAACACTCTGTGAGGTGAGTGGGGCTGAGAGACTTCAGAGAAGTGTGACTAGCCCAAGGTCACCCAGCAGCTGCATGTGGAGGAGCAGGGAAGCGAACCTGGTTCGCCAGATTACAAGTCCACCGCTCTTAACCACTACACCACGCTGGCTCTCTGGCAAGCCATCAGTCTCCAGCCTTCTTATGCATCTATTTGACCTCCTGCCTTCCTTACTGACATCATGACTAAGATTCAAGCCAACAGTGGAAGCCCAGAGAAGGGGAGCTTTTATGCACAAGAGGAGAATGGCTTCAATGACCCCCAGGTAACCTCCAGCCAGCTGTCTTCTTTAAACATTAGGCTACATCCATTTGGAAATAAGAGGACAGTATTGCTGGTTTACCTTACAAGGGTTGTGGTAAGGATTACTGAGATAATATATGTGAAATACTCCTTTAGCCCTTAAGAAAGGCACTTTACGGTCTACAAACAAAAACAAATCCCACACAACTTTTTGAGAGGTGCACAATGCTAAAGAAAAAGAAATTGTGACTGTGACTTCAAAATGTGTGTATCATATGGTAAATAAACCAAATTTGGGGGTGGGGGGAATCTATATCTATCTTCTTTTGATCTAGAAGGAATTTGAGTGGTGGTAGAGTCATACCCCAAATATGTTTACTCAGAAGTAAGTTTCTTTGTTTTCCTTGAGGCTTATTCCGAGATTGCAGCCTGAGATAGGGCAATAAGGCTAAGGACAGATCTATCTCCACCAGCACATGACAACAATGTTGGGGTCAGATGTACAATGGCCAAGTCTACATGCGCATAATATTTGAAGCGGTAAGAAGAAACCCTTTGATCCATCTATACTTTATGGCCTGCGGTAACACACTTGTGTGAGTTAGGTACTGCATATATATGGGTAAGACCAAATATCTGCATTGAGCTAATCCAATCAATTACACCTCTATAGGAAGCAGAGCAACAAGAGGGTGTGAAAGACCTGCAACATGAGTCCCACCCAGTGTGTGCATGAGTGTCACATGCAAAGGGATTCAAACACTGCCATTTTTGGCACACTCACAACTGCCAAGTGATATTCACTTAGATGCTGCAGATACTGTGCTGGCCAAATTCATTCAGATCAAAATGAATACACAGAGGTGCTCGAATGTGCTGTCCCGTAGAGAGCTGGATGTAAAATCCAGCATCTCACAGAGATATGGGTGCAACCCTGCAGCCTGCCGTTTCTCAAACTCCAAGAGATTAGGCACTAATGATCGGTCCCCCCTAACCCCCAGAAATACACCTGAAAGCTAAAGCCTGGTCACGGTTTGGACAATGCCAAACAGATTTAAGTTGAAACTGATCCTCAAACTTCTAGAAAAGAAACAGTATAAAAATAAGGAGGAAAAATAAGGGGGTTGCCACCTCACCTATTTGTTTTTGTCACTTAAAATCTTGTACAAAAGGAATGCTAACCTAAAATATTGCATTTGTATAAAACCACAAAGACTTCTAAGAGAAAAAATTTAAATTATGTATACATATAAAAAGGCCTTCTCTAGCAACTAAAAATTTTCTTCTTTTTTTCCAAGCAGATGCCATTTTGCAGCTCAAGCAAGAATCACATTTCCCCTCGTCTATGAGCCTTTGCTGCCACAGCGCCACCTTCCTCTTCTTCCTCTTCCTCCTCTTCCTCCTCGTAGTTCTCATCACGGCCTTCTTTACGATTATTTTCCTCTTGGACTTCTTGCTCTTGCTCTGCACCTTCACTCATTTTTTCTTCAGCCTGGTAGCATGAGAAAATAATAACCCCAGAACAAAGATAACAAAAGAGAAAACTATTCAGCTTTTTGGAAAACATGTATTTGATGATAAAACTCTGCAGCATTTGCTATGGCGAAATATTTCTTCACACACACACACCAGTCACAGCACAGAACAAAACAGGATTATTGTGCTACTGCAGGCTGTTGAAATTCTATGATTACTAAAGCCTTGAACCGAACTATCCTCTGCTGGGGGAGATCAAGTTGTGACAAACAGCTGGAGCAACATATTGGGCTCTTTTAAGACTCCCTTCAACCCTATTGCTATAAATTCTTCTAAAAAGAATACCAATAATTACACTTGAGGTTTGGGCCAATTAACCTGTCCAACATTGTCAACTGATCACATATTGTTTGACAAAGGTCAAATAGTCCAGGGAAACAAGAATGCCCTGGCGTTCTTTCCATTGCATCACGGAGGCCGTTCAATAGCAACTGCAAGAGCGCAAGCTGCTTGCTCCTCAGCCTGGAGTAGTCGGGGTCTAGGGCCGCGTTCAAACAACCTGCTTGCAGCACAAAACATGTTGTGTTTCCTCAATCCAGAATCAATCGTGCTCACCCTCAAAATGCTGCTAGATTGATTCCAGATCCTGCTGTCCACAAAGTTGGGTGTGATTACTTGATATGCCTTTTGAAAAGCCTCCTCTTCTCTTGACTAGGTGACCCATGCCTTCTCCTCCCTGCACATGCCCCAGGTGAACTGGCGAAGGAAGTGGCAATTGCAATCTTGGCATATGCTTACCCACACTGCCACTGGGCAGGTGAATGAACACATACACACACACATTTCTGGGAGTGCCTATATCTGTTTTCAAATGAACACACTGTGGGAAAATGCGGAATTAACCCATGATGAGCTTTCCTTTCTGGAATGAAACCAGTTTGTCCTTTTTCTCATTTTATACGTAAACCAGTAGTGTTATGCAGACATCTCTGACCTGGATATTCAAGGAGCAGGAAACACACAAAGCCTCCCTTAACCACCCATTTTATCGAGCGTCCCCCATCTACGCAGTGTGCCTACATTTTCATCATTTTCGCCGTATGGCTCCTCGCCGTTGTGATCCGGTTCCCTCTTCTTCTCCTCGGTCAGATCTCCCTGGGCCTGAAAAGAGACACATATGCCCAGTTGGAGGGGAAGGAAGAACCCATTCGAAGCCACCTGAAGTTTTGTGGCCATTCATTCATTGCATTTATATCCTGCTTCCCTCCATTACTCTCTCTCTCTCTACCTCAGGAACTCAAGGTATTGAGAACAGGTGGTTTTTATACATAAACAATTCAGTCCAACATGACTACACAACCTCTTTGGATAATTAGTTTAATTATCCTCCTCATTTAATCCCCACAACAACAACCCTGTAAGATAGGTTAGGCTGCTGAGAGGCAGTGACGGGCCCAAGGTCACCCAATGACTTTCATGGTTGAGTGGGGATTTGAACCCTCATCTCCCAGGTCCCAGTCCGACATTCTAACCACTACGCCACACTGAAGACATACCTTTGCAATGCATAATAGAGGAAGAAAACATTCATTAAATGCATATGCATATAGGAGGGCCCAAAATGCCTTGACCTGCAGAAAAAGGAGGATTTTCTCCTCCTATCTCCTAGAATATGCTTTGGTTCATTTCCCAGCCGCAAGAACTCAATTGTACTCAATATATTCCATTTTTTTCCTCCCATATCCTACAGGGAAGGGCTGCAGTTGAGTGTACAGCAAATCTCTTTCTTTTAAACTGTTTTTAATATGGTGATTTTTTATTTTAAAAAATGCTGTAACCAGCCTTGGGACCATATGGTAAAGAACGGGTAAGGAACTTAAATAGTAATAATACAAATATATGCTGATAATTAAGAGAGCTGCTGCTTTGGCTCTTGTCGATGTTACCATACTTTTCCGTGTATAACATGCCTCCATGTATAAGACGCCCCCTATTTTGGGGGACTCAAATTTAAGGAAATGGGGGGAGATGGCAAAGAGTTGTTCAGCTTTTTGGGGGGGGATTAGCCCGGGTTGTTCGGCTTTTTTAAAGGGGGATTGCCAAAAATTGCCTCCCGTCTGTCCCATCGCCAGCAGAAGCTGCCAATCGCCCAGCCAACTGCCAGAGCATCAGCCAATCAACACCACCCATTGACGCAGCAACCAATAACACACACAAAAGGCGCTGATAGCCATGGCAACAACCAATCAAACGTCCACCCTATGCACTACCCATGTATAAGACGACCTCCACTTTTTAGCATGATTTTTAAAGAAGAAGAAGAATAAGAAGAAGAAGAAGAAGAAGAAGAAGTAGAAGAAGAGTAGTCTGGATTTGATATCCCACTTTATCACTATCCGAAGGAGTCTCAAAGCGGCGAACAATCTCCTTTCCCTTCCTCTCCCACAACAAACACTCTGTGAGGTGAGTGGGGCTGAGAGACTTCAAAGAAGTGTGACTAGCTCAAGGTCACCCAGCAGCTGAATGTGGAGGAGCAGAGACGCGAACCCGGTTCACCAGATTACGAGTCTACCGCTCTTAGCCACTACACCATACTGAAAAAAACATAGACTTATACATGGAAAAGTATGGTACTTATCACATTTTTAGCACATTCTTCCTCCAAAGCACTTGTGACGCATACATTCTGCTCCCCCGCCCAGCAATAATCCTCACAACCAGAGAAGTGTGTGTCCTCAGGTTCCTTACCTCTTCTTCTCCCTCTTCCTGGTACTGCTCATCCACATTGTCTTCTTGCTGATCAGGGTTACCCACCATCTGCAGACAAACACATTCCATAGCTAATATCTCCAATATCACTCAAAACCATGCACTGACTTACTTATTGAAAATCAATTCCAGGGCACCAGGGCACACAGGAGAGGCATAACTACGAAAAAAGAAGAAGGATGCAACATGGCAAGGATTTGATTTCCAATGCTCACAAGTGGGTCTGTGCAGGTATAGTTTTGTTTCGTCTTTTAGCAGCAATTAATGTTCCTCTACCGGCGGTTAATAGTTAAGAAACCAACCATAGTTAAAGCTAGCCACAGTTTTATTACAACCAGGGCTTAGTCATCCTGGACTCCCTTTGGGGAGGAAGAGCATGGTATAAATCTAACAAATTAAAATAGATTTGTGTAACATAAACCCGATATTTCTACATTAGCGTGCACGCAAAGCAGCTTATGCATTTTGCAATCAGTGAGCAAAAGGGACCGATAATGGATGCAATAATGGAATACTGAAAGGTATAGTTTTTGTAAAATATGCAGGGATTTATGACATGTAAAATGAACCATGGAAAGAGAAGATTGATATCTTAAGGATGTAAAATTAGTATTTTAAGTTGTAAAACAGAAAACTTAATAAAATTATATATATACAATGCAAAAAAAGTGACTACATTAAAAGGGGGCCTGGAAGAGGCAGAAATTACCATTTAAAAGCAGTAGTAAAGAAAGACATGCTTGCAGCATAACCCTATATATGAGAAGTAAAATCGGCCGTGTTCAATGGGGCTTATTCTAAACTATGCTTTTAGCATTCTTTTGAAAATGGTCAATGAAAGGCAAAGCTTTTAAAAATCCTGGTTGCAAGAGAGCCAATTGCCACAATAAAGACTGGTGTCAATGCAACATTCACTGTGGTTAACAGGAAGAGGGAGCAATTCCAGAGCTCATTCTTGGACATTTAAGCTTAATAGGACACTACCCAGAAACCTGCCATATGCTGCCCTGAGTAGGATCATGAAAGATAAAGGAAAAGGTACCCCTGACCATTAGGTCCAGTCACAGACGACTCTGGGGTTTGGGCACTCATCTCGCTCTATAGGCTGAGGGAGCCGGCGTTTGTCCGCAGAGAGCTTCTGGGTCATGTGGCCAGCATGACTAAGTCGCTTCTGGCGAACCAGAGCAGCGCATGGAAACGCCATTTACCTTCCCATCTGAGCGGTACCTATTTATCTACTTGCACTTGACATGCTTTCGAACTGCTAGGTTGGCAGGAGCTGGGACCGAACAAAGGGAGCTCACCCCGTCGCGGGGATTCGGACCACCAACCTTCTGATCAGCAAGTCCTAGGCTCTGTGGTTTAGACCACAGTGCCACCCGCGTCCCAGGATCATGAAAGAAAGGTGTAAATAAATGAAACAAATCAGCTGCGGCAAACTTCACATGTGGTCATTTTAGGAAATACTCCTTGTTGCAGTTAGAAGGAAGGTGTGACAGAATGCAAAGCAGAGCAAACCCATGGAAGTCTAAGGTAATGGGAAACTCACTTTTGTCTAGAAAAAAACCCTCAATGACCAGCAAACAGGTCATGCATTGCAATGAATTGTGTGTGAGGTGAAATGCCTATTTGAAATGGCTGTTTCATACATGCAGGACATCCCTAGAAGCTGCAGCCTTTGTTTGAAACAGGACCTCCACTTGATAGCTATGGCCTTTTGTATACTGACCACTAAATGTTCTTCCATTTCAGGGTTCCCTTGTTTTGGGTTATTCGGCTTCAGTTGCTTATTCTCATCAGGCAGGTTCTCTTCCCTCTCCTGCTCTGCTTCCTCAAACTCATCTTCCCCTTGATTGTTGGGATCATCAGCTGGGTTGACATCATCCCCGGCTGTCTTCTGCATTTCAAGAGAATTTCAATAAAGAATAAAGTGCATTTCACTACAGTCATACCTCATGTTACATCCGCTTCATATTATGTTCTTTCAGGTTACGTCCCGCGGCGACCCAGAAGTACCGGAAAGGGTTACTTCCGGGTTTTGGCGCTCGCACATGCGCAGAAACACAAAATAATGTCACGCGGATGCGCAGAAGCGGTGAATCGCAACCTGCGCATGTGCCGACGCACCGCTGTGGGTTGCACTCTTTTCATGTTGTGAATGGGCCTCCGGAACGAATCCCATTCACAACCAGAGGTACCACTGTACAACGTTGCCTTAGGTCCATATCCAACACATCACTCAGATCTGCTTTAGATTTTCAAGAGCGGGCAAAGTTACAATCTATGGGTTGTACTCATTGAAGCCCTATTCAGAGTAGACTCACTGAAATTTAGTAATTCCCATTAACGTCAACGGGTCTACTCTGAGTAGCATTTGTACTGGATACAGTGGTACCTCAGGTTACATACGCTTCAGGTTACATACACTTCAGGTTACAGACTCCGCTAACCCAGAAATAGTACCTTGGGTTAAGAACTTTGCTTCAGGATGAGAACAGAAATCGTGCTCCGGCAGCACGGCAGCAGCAGGAGGCCCCATTAGCTAAAGCGGTGCTTCAGGTTAAGAACAGTTTCAGGTTAAGAACAGACCTCCGGAACAAATTAAGTACTTAACCCGAGGTACCACTGTACTACCTTTCGTTTCTGATTTTTTATTTATTTATTGAATTTATATACCGCCCTATACACGGGGGTCTCAGAGCCATTCAGCACAAGGAGACATATACCCAGATGCAAATCTCCAGCGGCTGCAAATTAAAAAGTCTGGTGGGCACCCAGCCAACTCTCAGCTGTTGAATTGAGTGTATGGGATGGCAGCTTAGAGGCCTTCACCCAAAGGCCGCAGGATCAGGGCCAGACTTCTTGATCCTTACAGTAGCCCTGTGAAGTAGGTCAAACCAGGAGAGAAAGTGACTTGCCCTAGTAGGTTTAATAAAGACTTACAAGTTAGTACACCCAGGGTAATTCTTTACAGCATCCACTCCCAGTCAAGGGGCACCACTATAAGAGGAGCAAGTAGGCAGGTGCTCACTGTGTTAAAACTGACAGGGCCATACTGATCTGAGCACATCTCTTCCTACTTCCAAGCTCGATCCATCAAGCCTGTGTAGCATAGCAGCTAAGAAAGCCCAAGAGAGACTCCATCTCCTCAGAGTATTGCGAAAGAATGATGTCAATCAGCATTTGATGATCTCCTTCTACTGGTCCACAATAGAAAGTGTCCTTTCATACTGCATCACGGTGTAGTATGCTGGTTTGACATCAACTGATAGGAAGTGCCTACAGAGGGTGGTGAATACAACACAAGATATTATGGGCTGTCCCGTGAATCCGCTGGATGAAATAGCGGAAGAACGTTGTCTCAGGAGAGTGAGGAAAATTCTCAGGGATGATTCACACCCTGTCCGGCACTTTCTTGATCTCCTGCCCTCAGGCAGAAGATATAGAAGCATGATTAGTTGCACCAACAGGGTAAAGAACAGCTTCTATCTGTGGGCTGTTAGGCTGCTGAATGAAAAGATGACAACAGGGCAACTGACTTTCAGTGTGTTGGTGGGTGTGCATCAGTAAACGAGGGTAATTAAGACAAAGAGAGCTGAGTGGGGGGTGTTCGTGTAATCTCACTGTATACAAGTTGTACAAGTGACAATAAAGCATTTCAATATTTCAATTTCAATGTTCAGCTGCAAACCAGGAACCCCTTGGAGACAATCTCACCCCTGCTATGAACTTAAGAAACTGCCTTATAAACAAGCCACCCTCTCTCACCTCAACCTTCGCTATGTGGAGAGAATAATTGCCTGTCTTGCCAAGATCAGCTGGCTTTATTGCTCTCTCTCTCTCTCTCTCTCTCTCTCTCTCTCTCTCTGTGTGTGTGTGTGTGTGTGTGTGTGTGTGTGAGAGAGAGAGAGAGAGAGAGAGAGAGAGATGCTTGACTGCAGTCTAAATTGAGCTATTAAATGGCTTTTGTTTTAAATTTATTGCAAATCACATTGAAGTGGCATTTGCTTAGAAAGGCAGGATATAAAACCTAAGATAAAGGCATATGTGTGTAAAACAAAACATGAAACACTTTGAAGACATGGAAGTGCTATATAAATGCTAGCTGTTATTATTCAAACTCCCTCCCTAACCCTTCCTTCCTTGAATTCTGAAGAAACTGATTTACTATTTCAAGATACGGCAAGAATCTTGGCCTACTTTTTTGTTCTCTGATGTTACCACACCCCTTTATTTATTTGCTTTTTTGCTTTTAAGACAGGACCACCAGCCTCAGAGCCAGCTGATGAGGAGGGCTCAGCAATGTATTGCTGAATGGGCTCCTGTCCACCATCGTAGTTTTCCCAAAATGCAATGCTCCAAACATTCTGTGGAACTGTTGTTTTTCTTTTTTAAAAAAAAGGCTGCCACAAAATACCTGGGAAAACTTAAGATGGTGGCCCCAGTCCGTGTCACCAACAATCCCAGGCAGTACCTCTAGGCCAAACAAGCCTTGCTTCTGCCTTTGTTACAAGAAAAAGCACCTCCAGCATGGTGCTTGACACACAATTACTGATTTAGCTAGATTCATGTCTATTGATGTCTGTTATAGAATTGCCCCACAGTGCAATTTTAAAATATCAATGTATGCCATTCCCACTCACCGGTTCTTCATTCTGCTCGCTCTCTGCTCGGTGGTCCAGTTCATGATCCTGTTGTCCGTTTGCATTATTGTGGTCTTCTTCCTCCGCTTCATCTGGGTGCCGGTTCTGCCGATCGTAATCTGATCAAAGGCAATTCAGATAATTCATTCAGCCCTCCTTCCATTCAGAAAGACCGCATAAGCGGAACACAGTATTTGTAATCCACGAAAGGAACAGCTTCCATGTGCAATTCAAGACGTATGAAAGTTGGCTAATGTAGACAGGGAAAATTTTGGGACAACAAGATAGAGATGAATGAGCCCCACCCGTTCTCCACTGGCCATGAAATCCAGAAATAAGCCAAGCTAGGCTTTACCTGCTTTAAATATGGCCAACCCATTGATTGCATTTTCAATTACACACATGTCTTATTTCAAAGACAGCGTTAAAGACAAGGGTTGGAGAGAACGTCACTTACTTTCTTCTTCTTCCTGGGCACCTTGTTCTTCTCCTTGCACAATATCCTGATCCAGGTTGTCGTAATGGGATTGGTGGCTGGAGAAACATTATACAAAGGGGTTAATTCGGATTCACAAAGGGATTTTTATTGTTGTTAAAACAGGGGTGGAGAACCTATCACCCTCCAGAGGTTGCTGGACTACAACTCCCACCAGCCCCTGCCAGCATGGCCAGGGATGATGGGCAATTGGGGTTCAGCAACAACTCAGGGGCCTTGTGAGAAAAGATGGAAGACCAATGCTTGCCATTTACTCCTTTGTTGGGGTTTGTGCCAACTAATAATAATAATAATATTTTATTTATATCCCGCCCTCCCCAGCCGAAGCCGGGCTCAGAGCAGCTAACAACAGTAAAATGATACAACATTCTAAAATCATTTCATTATAAAATCAGTTCAAATCAGATTAATGGCAACCATTGGGCTAGAGTTCTGTGAGGATTGCCAAAGGAGGGGGTCAGGCTGTGCCTTGGCCAAAGGCCTGGTGGAACAGCTCTGTCTTGCAGGCCCTGCGGAAAGATGTAGCCTTCCCTCATTGTAGGTTGCACCTCCCACTTTACATGTGTTGCCACAGCAACACAATGCACCCATGCGGAAGTACAGGGCCATTGCTAGCGGCACTGTGAGTGTGACATGGGAAGAGAGGGTGCTCTTTCATGAGTGGGAAGAATAACCCAACCCAGGACACCAAGGGAGTGCGCCCCCCTAGAACACACCCAACCAACCAACCACCCACCCACGTTCCCAGAATCCTCTGCAATGTGCAGGGTTTCCATGAGGGAAACTGTGATAATGGATGCAGACTAGAGAGACGCATGTATGCAAAACCTATTGCTTTAAATGGCTGGAATGCTGTTCACTGTACAAATGCTGCTGCTGCTGCTGCTGCTGCTGCTAATAATAATAATAATAATAATAATAATAATTTCTTTATACCCCGCCCATCTGGCTGAGTTTCCCCAGGCACTCTGGGCGGCTCCCAATCGAGTGTTAAAAACAATACCGCATTAAATATTAAAAACTTCCCTAAACAGGGCTGCCTTCAGATGTCTTTTAAAGATAGAATAGCTGCTTATTTCCTTCACATCTGAAAGGAGGGCGTTCCACAGGGCAGGCGTCACTACCGAGAAGGCCCTCTGTCTGGTTCCCTGTAACCTCGCTTCTCGCAATGAGGGGACTACCAGAAGGCCCTCAGCACTGGATCTCAGTGTCTGGGCTGAACCACGGGAGTGGAGATGCTCCTTCAGTTATACAGGACCAAGGCCGTTTAGGGCTTTAAAGGTCAGCACCCACTATTCCACCTACTAGGCTTGCCCACCACTGGCATGTGGCCCCTGCAAGGCTTCCCTAGAGGGAACGTGGCCCTGAGTCAGGAAAAAGATCCCCTGCTTTAAGGCAATATAATGCAGAAAGGATTCCTGACAGCAGACACTTGAAAAGCCAGTTTGTAGGCACCCACGGCGAACGCCATTTTCTAAATGCTTGCTGACAGGACATGGCACAGGTCAAGGAATGGCCCGCATCTTTATCCTGCTCCACTGGCAGCAGTGGAGAAGTGGGTCGGCCTGCACCTCCTCATGGGTAGCATATCAGCAGCCTGACCCCCCCCCCCCAAGGCCCTGACCTCCCAGCAGGGGTTTGAAGAAAGTGCCAGAAGGTTCCAGAAGGTTCTGGAAATTCTAGTCACTGTCAAAGTCTGAGGCAACCTGAGCTAACCTCCTTTCTCAGAGGCCGACAGGAGCCAAAAGTGCGTTTTAGAAAGATAACCTTAGTCGGTGTTTAAATTGCTCTTCGCCCTGCTCTGCCTGCCTGCGCAGTGTCAGCTCTCGCTCCTGAAGCTGCTGCTGCCGTAGCAACTGCTCTTGTAGTCTCCCCTGGTGCAGAGACTCCTGGTGTTCTCTGAGGCGATTGGCCTCCTCCGCTCGCTGGACAGCCAGCCGCTGTTGTTCCAGCTGCTCCTCGTAGGCAGATTTGTATCGGGTTATCGTCTTCACCTTCGGTGGTTCCTGGGCCAAGACAAATAGCTTAAAGTAAAGACCTAAGTAGGAAAGGGACGCGGGTGGCGCTGTGGGTAAAACCTCAGTGCCTAGGACTTGCCAATTGCATGGTCGGCGGTTCGAATCCCCGCGCTCCCGTCATTTGGTCCCTGCGCCTGCCAACCTAGCAGTTCGAAAGCACCTCCGGGTGCAAGTAGATAAATAGGGACCGCTTACCAGCGGGAAGGTAAACGGCGTTCCATGTGCTGCGCTGGCTCGCCAGATGCAGCTTGTCACGCTGGCCACGTGACCCGGAAGTGTCTGCGGACAGCGCTGGCTTCCAGCCTATAGAGTGAGATGAGCGCACAACCCTAGAGTCTGGCAAGACTGGCCCGAATGGGCAGGGGTACCTTTACCTTTAAGTAGGAAAAGGCTTAAGTAAATAAAGGCAGAACGAACAGCAAGAGCCGTAGCTCAGTGGCAGAGCGTAGGCTTTGAATGCAGAAGGCCCAGGGTTCAATCCCCATCACCTCCACTTAAAAGAAACATGTAGCACAGGGGGCAGAAAAAACTTGTTGCAAGAGCCTGGAAGCCACTGCTAGTTGCTGCTGGGCTATACAGACTGAGGATCTGGTGCCAAATAAGGCCACTTCCCGAATTCTAATATCTTGCCAAGTGCACCAGCTCCTGAACTGAAAGAACCTGTTCCACACTTAGAATCACAAAATTGTAGAGTTGGAAGGGACCCCAACGGTCATCTCATCCAACCCCCTGCAATGCAGGAATCTCAACTAAGGCATCCATGACAGATGGCCATCCAACCTCTGCTTAAAACCTCCAAGGAAGGAGAGCCCATCACTTTCTGGGTCGTCGTGAGGATTAAAAAGAAAGGGAAAGGGGATTAACCCCTCCCTGAGGGGGAGAAAGGGAGAATGAAATATTGCAAATAGATTAAAACAGTAGCCTTTTGGCCACTGTTTGGGCCAGGACCCTCCTTTATCAATGAGATCAAAGCATTTCAAGCGTTCCACCACCACTTCTTCCCCAAATCCCAGAATCCCTTACTTCCATAGATGATAGGATCTAAAATAATGGAGGGAAATGACAGGTGGATGCCCAGCTAGAAAGAGGGCTTGAAAGAAAACCTAACTCTCTCTCACTCTCTCTCTCTCTCTCTCTCACACACACACACACACAAGAAATTTGGGATGCTTTTAGCCAGGAAACCCTCTAAAGTTGGGCAGGAGCCCCAGGGGAAATACATTTCACGTAACGATTTGAGCATCAGCCAAGACTCTGGGCTGAGGGACACTCATGAGCTCTAATGAAGCTTGAAATACAGGATGACTTTGTTAGTCAGATAAACACCAACAAGGTCCTGGGCTGAAACCAAAGGAACAAGCAGATTTTTGCACCCCTGAGACATGACCCAGAAGGCAGAGCCATCTCTCTGAGATTCTATTTACAGCTCTACACAAAACATGACCTGTCTGCACTGTACCCTTGAGATGCTCTGTTCCTTGAGGCAGGTTGCATGCAGAATTAAAATGGCCTGTCAAAATATTAGGGCACATCTGGATGCAAGGAAGAGTGCTCTGGACTCACAAAGGTAAATGGCAAGAACAGATTCTGCCACCAAACGCAAATATACTGCCTGCAGATTGCATACAACTTGTAAAGGGCTCTTTTATTATATTGCCGCTTTTATTTTTAATGATGTTTCCAGCTGGGCTAAAAGCCTTAACAAATTTAATTGACAGGAAGTTGCCTTAAAGAGAGCCAGACCAGTGGTCCACCTAGTTCAGTACTGTCTACATTACTGTCTTCAGCTGGTGGGTTAAGGTCCTGCTAGTGGGTCACAACCTGATCCAAGGTGGGTCACAACAGGAGCACTGCCACCATGCAAATATATTGTAAAAGGTTGAGAAATGGGTCCCCTAAATGAAAAGGTTGAGAAATGGGTCCCCTAAATGCATGTTTGGGTCCCCTACATGCCTGGCGTGCTCTGGTCCATGGGGTCACGAAGAGTCGGACACGACTAAACGACTAAACAACAACAACAAATGCATGTTTTAGACAGCATCTTAAAAAGCAGAGACATCACCTTGCCAACAAAGGTCTGTATAGTTAAAGCTATGGTTTTCCCAGCAGTGATGTATGGAAGTGAGAGCTGGACCATAAAGAAAGCTGATCGCAGAAGAATTGATGCTTTTGAATTATGGTGCTGGAGGAGACTCTTGAGAGTCCCATGGACTGCAAGAAGATCAAACCACTCCATTCTTAAGGAAATCAGCCCTGAGTGCTCACTGGAAGGACAGATCCTGAAGCTGAGACTCCAATACTTTGGCCACCTCATGAGAAGAGAAGACTCCCTGGAAAAGACCCTGATGTTGGGAAAGAGGGAGGGCACAAGGAGAAGGGGGCGACAGAGGACAAGATGGTTGGATGGTGTTATCGAAGCTACCAGCATGAGTTTGACCAAACTGCGGGAGGCAGTGGAAGACAGGAGTGCCTGGCATGCTCTGGTCCATGGGGTCACGAACGGTCAGACATGACTAAACATCTAAACAACAAAATGCATGTTGGGTTAAAAGTGCGTCCTGGGTCTGAAATGTTTGAAGATACCTGGCAGCAGATCTCCAAGGTTTCTGACAACGGTCACCTCTCTGGTGATGCCAGGAATTGAACCTGAGAGTTTCTGCATGCAAAACATGTTCTCTACCACTGAGCTATGGCCCCCCTCCCAGTGAGAGAGTCACTGCAGTGCGCCCTACAGTGCATATGTATGTATGTGTGTATGTATGCATGTGTATGTATGCATGCACACACTCATATAATACTCATATGATTCCTGGGCCAGGAAGCAACACAACGCTGGAAAGAAAAGAGTATCCGATGTGCTTCATTGACATAACCAGGCCCAAAGTCCCTTCTGGCTCCTGCCCACAATTCCTGTTGCCTGCACCACTTATGGCATGCATGATGCAGGCTGCTTGCCCACGAATTAAAGCTGAATAAATGTTCCGGCTTCTGCCTCCGCCAGTAATGCAGCTGGATTTCAAATCGAGCACCAGCTAAGGTGACAGTCTAAACAAGGCAGAGGATGAAGAGAAGAAACAGGGTGGGGTGCCTGCTATTTAAGCACACAAAAATGTGTTTCGAAAAAGGAATCTAGAAATTCGCTCTGGCTTCCAGTGTCCTGGGGGGTGATGAATGTGATTTCTTTTTGAAAGGTTAATAGAGAGATCGTGCAACAAGTTGCTCCCTTCCCCCCCCCCTCGCTTGCAAATTTTAGAAATGGGAAGACAACTAGTGTTACCAACTGCATCCGTCACACAGCACATCGCATTCTGTAAGATATAGCATGCACTGCATTTCAAAGTGGCACTATTCCCTTTCCAAAGTGTGGCCGGAGCTGTGCACATTCAATTAATCAACAGGGTGACAGCGACAGCATCACACTGGCAGGCTCCATCCCTTGCCCTTTGCAAATTGCAGCACACCCCTCCGGTCATGGTATGTGCAGTGCCCCAGCCTCTGTTCTGAAAGGGCTTGTTTGTGACTGGCAAAGCAAAACTAGCTAAATTGTTTCAAGCCCTCTCTCTCTCTCTCCCTGCTGCTTAAATTGCATTTCCAAACTGACTTACTGGGCAATGAGTCCCGATAGATTTAATGGGGCTTATTTCCTAGCTGGTGTGTTGAACGGTGCAACCCCGCTGAACACAGAGGGGTGCTATTACTATGCAAAGCATGACAGTGCTCTTATTTAGGTGTCTATTTTACCAACAGCTCACCTCCGAATGATGGTGTTCGCCCAGGGTGTTGGCTTCTTCCTCGTCAGCCTGCCCTTTCTCCTTCCATTCATGCTCCAAGTTGCCTTGGTCAAGATCCTCTGTCAAGCGTTCAGGCTGCCCAGCTTGCTCCATCTCTTCCTCCTCAAGTTCCTTCTTGTGCTCCTCTGCAACCTGTTCCACACGTTGCTCCTCGTCTTCTCCCGCCTCTTGCTTCTGCTGAATATTGAGTTCCCGCGGCGGGTGACCTTCATTGGCTTTTCTTTCAGGATGAAACGGCTCCGCTCTGCCTTCTCTTCCTTCCAAGTGGATTCCTCTGTTGGCTTCTTCTCCCCCCAGTGGCTGATCACCATTTAGCGTAATCTGCAACAGTGCAGAATATTAAACTTCAAATGGCCCGTTTAAAAGACTCTGCTGCTGATTTATTTTATTTTATTTTTTAATATAGAGAGACTTCTAGCCCATCCCTCTAAGTGCTTATGAACCACTCAGGGCAGCTTGCAACAATTAAAAAAACCTGCAACATCATGAAACACAACTAAAATATGTTCAACACACAATAAAGCAAGATATGAAAACGTACAACAAAGGCAAGGAGCACAGAGGAAACATGAGCTTTAAAGTGGATACTTAGCAGTGTATCCACTTTGATATCCCGCTACCCGAAGGAGTCTCAAAGCGGCAAACAATCTCCTTTCCCTTTCTCCCCCACAACAAACACTCTGTGAGGTGAGTGAGGCTGAGAGACTTCAGAGAAGTGTGACTAGCCCAAGGTCACCCAGCAGCTGCATTTGGAGGAGCGGAGACGCAAACCCGGTTCACCAGATTACGAGACTACCGCTCTTAACCACTATACCACACTGGCGTAGAATAAAATCACAGAATCATAGAGTTGGAAGGGACCCTGAGGGTCATCCAGCCCAACCCCCTGCAAGGCAGGAATCTCAACTAAATCATCTTTATTTCTTAAATGTGATAGGCTAAGAATGGGGGATTTGTGGCATGGGCCATGGCTTCTTGCCTGCCTGGTTTGCTTCCCCAAAGCATGTGGCTGATTACTGGTGGTATAAATGCCAGACTACACAGACCTAAATGTTCAGCAAAGCAGTTCTCCTCTCCTTAGAAGTGTGGGCATATATCCAAGGGAAGAGTTCACACAACAGGCCTGCCTGCCGGCTGCCAAACACTCAGAGAAGTCAAAGCCTTCCTATCACCCCACCATCGCCCATGAGCACAATGTATTCCAGCGGAGGCAGCTCACACATTCAGTTGTGAATCGGAGCTGAGAGTCTTCAAGGGGATGGAACATCAGTTGGCAGGCACCCAGGTGTGAAATCAGCCCTAAGAAAAAAGGATCTTATTTTGATTAGGGAAATGCTCCAATTAGAGTTCAGCTGCCTGCGCAAATCCTTCACGTTTGAACTGCCTGCGGTTTCTGCTTCATATCAAGTCACCCTGCGATGGCAGCATTTATGGAACCCGTGTCTCCCAACATGTATCGCCAAGAGCTCGGGTTGATGCTTAGTGTGTCATTTTTATATAAATAGATCAGAGACGGCCCGTCATTGTACCTGACTCTTTCTTTGTTTCATTATTTTTTAATGAGAATAATAACCGGATTTACCCCTTTTACATAAAAAAGTGCCGCATACAAACAAGATGACACCAGGGGGTTTAAGCTGCTTTCTTTTGCTCAAACTATAATGATGTGACATTTGGAAAGAGCAAAGATCTTCCATGCTTTATTAAGCGCAAGGATTCACAAAGGAGCCATTGCTCAACACACGTATGTGGCCATCCATATGCGAAGGCAGCAAAGGACGTAAACATTTGCTTGCAGGCTAATCTTAAGGGAGACAAGCCTTTGCCTACAATGAACACAGCACGGACGTGAATTGCCAGGTGAAGCAGAACTGCCACACTACCTTCCCGGCAGGTGGGTCATTGTTGCTTACCAGAAGAAGGGAGAGTTAGTGGGAGGTTAGTGTGGTGCAAACCCTGCTGCCTTGCCCCTCCCAGTAAGCAAATTTGATGAGGGGGCGCTCATCAAATCTGCAGATGACACCAACCTGGGAGGGGGAGCTAATGCCACTGAAAACAGAATCAGGATTCAAGACGACCTTAACAGCTTGGAGAACTGAGCCAAAGCTAACAAAATGCCTTTCAATAGGGACAAATGTAAGGTTCTGCACATAGGAAGAGCCAGCTGCACAAATATAAGGTGGGGGACACCTGGCTTGCCAGTAGTGCATGTGAAAAGAGATCTAGGGGTCTTAACACGAGTCAACAGTTAATGCTGCTCTAGGGTGCATCAACAGAGGTCTAGTGTCCCAGTCAAGGGAAGCCGAAAAGTGCTGGGTGAAGGGGATGTAGCAGCCAAAACCATCTTCATTTTCCCAGAATGCCACTGGGCCCAGCAGCACTGAACATCGTGAAGACTGCAGCAGCTATAGCTGCAGTGATTCTCTACAGAGCATCAGGACCTAAAAAATTGTTTTCAAAAAGGGAGGCTGGCGTCAGCCACGGTGGACTCTCCAGAACTTATTTGCTGCAACATGCTGAGCATCAAGGCCAGGCCCGTGAGGGACTCATGATTTTTATGCTGTTTTTATATTGCTCAGTATCGATTTCTGTTTTTGAAGTATTCTGTGCAAGTCACCTTGAGTCTTTCGGGGATCCCTTGAGATCAAAAGTTCAGGATACCGAGAAATTAAGCATTCAAATCCCAGAAAGTCAGCTTCTGTGAGTCTGCTATGAACAGTTTAAACATATGAAACTAACAAATCTCCCCTCCTGTTGGATAAATGCTATCTATCTAACCAATAAGATGCTTTTGCAACATTAGACACAAATTTTGCTCAGCAACAGCCAATGGTACCACACAGGCTAAATTAGATCCACCGCCACCATTACTAAAAATGGAAATAGCAAAAAGGGCAATGTGGGAGCTGCTCCAGAGTTCTAGCCAGCCAGTCATGCCTTCTCCCCAATAATCTATTCCATTTCTGTTCTTCATCCCATCTTCCAATTGCTTGACATTCCCATTTTCGTGTAGGAATCTCCGGAAGCCAACAAATGGCCATATCTGCGGCCCATCACTTTGAATAGTCACAGCAAACCATGGTTTCTCAACTAAAGCATCCTTAACTGTGGTTTAGTGTGATGCCTAAATTGAGTTACTGTCTGTCGTTCTCAATTTCTCCCCTCCAGCTTGTAACGTGTAATACTGACCTTCCTTGATAGGTTATTGTAATAATTGCTGAGATAATACAGTGGCACCTCGGGTTACAGACACTTCAGGTTACAGACTCCACTAACCCGGAAATAGTACCTCGGGTTAAGAACTTTGCTTCAGGATGAGAACAGAAATCGTGCAGCGGCGCAGCAGCAGCAGCAGTGGGAGGCCCCATTAGCTAAAGTGGTATCTCAGGTTAAGAACAGTTTCAGGTTAAGAACGGACCTCCAGAACGAATTAAGTTCTTAACCTGAGGTACCACTGTACATGGAACCCTTTCTGAACACTGAAAAGCACACTATATAAATGTTAATCACCGCCATCAAGGAAGATGACTTGGTCAGTCAGCCAATATTACCTCCTTCTGCTCTTCCACCATGTCAGCGCCATGTGCTTTGGCGTCCCCTAGAGGGGAAGGCGCTGATGTCACCGGCAGGACATGTTGCTGCTCAAAATTTTCTGGCTTCTGGAAGCTAGGCATCTTTTTGAGCGTCTCCTTCAGCTGTCTGTATTCCTCCACCTGGGACTAGAATTCAAATGCAACCATTAGATATCACTGTCAGATGAACCGCTTCTTATTAAAAACTGCAGGGAAGCTGGAGGCTCCGAGGCAAGTTGGGTATTTTAGCTAAACATGCACATCCGATCAAAAACGCCCATGTGCTAAAGCGAGATCTTTTCTATGCGCCAGAGTGCGCCAATTTAATACATTACAGCAGGCATGCAAAGTCTAGCGTAAAATCCCCACAGCCCAGAAACGGGGATTAGTTTTTCATGCCACGCAGAAGAGGAACAGAACTGTCAGAAGTGAATTATTACATTTCCTTTCAACCCGTTTTTGAGGGGGCTGGGGAGAGAAATCGCAAACAGGGGGAAAGTCCCATGAACTGAAAAGATACAACTGAAAGAGAACGACCAAATGAGTGTGTGTGATGAACAATCACAAGCATCTCTTCAAACGCTTGCAAGAAAACTGGCTTCCCGTTCTTAATGGAATTGTCCAACATATGATGGAAATGAATTTATCCAGAACAAAGGTGTAGTGTTATTTCATGGGTGGTTCACTAAAACAAAATACGCGGTGGACCAACACACTTTCCACATCGAGGCAGCATCACATGGCTGAAAGGCAAGATCCTACCCTTTCCAGCCTAAAAGTGACTTGGGGTGTTCGCTGCTGAAGCTGCCACACATGGCTGCCCCATTCATAATTTTCTTCCCCATCAAGCAAGGGAAGCGGCACCATGCAGATGGGCCAGCTCTGCCTACAACCTTTGTATGGCATGCCTACACCATCATTTCCCCTATATGCAATGCTCAGGCAGTGAGCGCTGTTCCTAACGTAGCCAAAACAGCACAAGAAGCAATGGCTTCATCCTATTGGCTGCAGAAAGTCAACCAACTGTAGGGACAGGAAAAAAGAAAACTGGGGCCAGGGGGTTTCAAGTTGGAGGCTGGAGACAGTCAACAGTTTCAGAAGAGTTCAGCAGGTTAGTTTCTAGGCGAGAATGCAAGTTCTTTTATTTGATCTCATGGCTGCCTTTGGAAAAACGGAACCTGCACAAAAAAGCCTATGAACCTAGAGGATTTTGGGGTAAGGGGTTAAGCCATAGAGAACACAGTCTCCATCACACTGATGGTTTCATCTCCGAAAAAGGACACCATACACATCCAAAGTGTTGTTCATTTTCCAGCAGAGCAACTCCATCCCTGTCAACAAGAAGTTTGAAACACACTGGAAGCTCTCCCTCTCCCTCTCCCTCTCCCTCGGTGCGTACATCCAGCACACACAACCCCCCTTCATAAGCTGTGTAGTGCTAGGAGTCTGCGTGGTCTCTTCTTTTACACATGTAAACATCTCAAAGTTGTTTCTTGCCAAGTTATGAGAAGAAGTGTATGTGCCCCCTTGCAGGACCCAATTTAGATGAAGAGAGGTTTGTAAACTCATCACGGTGCAACTCAAACCAATAACCTGGAGCATTTCCCAGCAGGGTTGCGCCTGCAATGCCAAACAACAAGGCTGGGGGGGCCTCTTCAAAAGGTATAATTGTGCTCACTTGAAGGACCATTTTAATATCTGCTCTGCCTTATGACGAAACAGAGTTTCCCCCACTCGACGCAGAATCAGAAAAAACCACCTTTCACCAAGGTCAGACCACTGGACTATCAATCCAGTGCTTTTCCAGGATCTTGGGCAGAGGTCTCTCTCCCACCCTTTGCATCACCTTCTCCTTTTAAAAACTGGAGACAAATGGGATGGAACCTGGGACTTTGCATGTAAAGTCTGCAGTCTACCACTGAGCTATAGATCTGGTCTGCCTTGGAGTAAGTTCGCACTGCAAGAAGCCCCTTGGCAAACAACTGTCTCAAGTTCTTTGAGCTCCTAAAAAACAGTAAGGTTTTCTTCCCCTGCTTAAGCATCCTGCCAATCCTCCCCCCCCCCCGCCCCCCGCTTTATCCTATGCAACTCAAAGCTCATCATCCATCCCCTGGGTAACTCTTAAAGTTGTATTGCTTCAATACGCTTTGCGTGGGGCTGCCTTTGAAGACACTCTGGAAACTGCAGCTAGTTTAGAGCCCTGTGCCTAGGCTGCTAAAGCATAGGTGCCAGGCAAAAAAGGATGTTCCTTTACTATTAACGCAAGCACTTTTAAAATAAAAAAATTAAAACAGACTGATGTTCCTGTCTATAGGAGGTGCTGTGAACTGAGTACCTGAGTTTATTTTAAACATGCTGTATTGGTTTGTACGCTTTGTTTTATTATTATCATCACCACCATGAAATTGTACTCCCCCCGCTGTTTTGCTAGCCTCTCTGGGAAACACACCTCGATGCTGAAGGGGGATATGAAATGATGCAAAGCCCTAGCCAAGCCACTAGCCTCACCAGGTGGTGCGGGCCAAGTTGCAATCTCTTGACTTCACTTCTCCCGCAGGGCTGCTCAAGGATAAAATGAGATAACCCTGAAGCTCCTTGGAGGGTGAAGGACACACGTCACGAGAAAATTTAAAACAGGCAAGTACAGCCCAGCACTCGGAACACCATATGGAACCACGACAAATCACCTAGCAAATCACCTCCAGGGTTTTAGGCAGGGGTTCTTCCCAGCCTTACCTGGAGTTCCCAGGGACTGGGACCTTCTGCACGCCAAGCATGTGTCCCAGCACTGAGCTACAGCCCTTCCCCTTCGTTGTGCCACAGGTCTCCCATAGAAACTTTGCTAGGTGCTTACAAGACTCTGTCTGCAGAGAAAAGGGCTGTAGCTGAGTGCACTCGAACCCTGGTGAGGGCTCATCATCGAGCCTGCCTAGTGGCAGTGAAGGCAGAGCGGAAAAGAAGGCTTCCTTTGCTGCCTCCATTGCACCCTCATTGTGCCATCTGGCAGAGCTTTTCCGGGTAACGCGGGGCCTTTTACAGTCTAGCCCACAGGAGGTGGCAGAACCGACAGTAGCTCGCTGTGACTTGCTTGCAAAGCATTTTGAGGATAAAATCGCATGCATCTGCAAGGACCTTTACTCTGCTCCTATTAAGGGAAAGGTAGAAGACCCTTGGATGGTTAAGTCCAGTCAAAGGCAACTATGGGGTTGTGGCGCTCATCTTGCTTTCAGGTCAAGGGAGTCGGTGTTTGTCTGCAGACAGCTTTCCAGGTCATGTGACCAGCAGGACTAAGCCACTTCTGGCACAACGGAACACTGTGACGGAAACCAGAGTGCACAGAAACACTGTTTACCTCCCTGCCACAACGGTACCTATTTATCTACTTGTACTGGTGTGCTTTCAAACTGCTAGGTTGGCAGGAGCTGGGGCAGAGCAACGGGAGCTCACCCTGTCATTGGGATTCAAACCACCAACATTCTGATCGGCAACCCCAAGAGGCTCAGTGGTTTAGACCACAGTACCACCTGCGTCCCACAAAGACTATAATTCCTCTTATAGCAGAGGAATGTGATGGAGTGTCCAGAGCGTTGCCTAGTCCTGCTATACTGGATGATTTTGTTGCATGTGTGGCTTATGGGTTTGCTTTGTTCTTAATATGTATTTTGTGCATTCATTTTGTATTTTTATGCTTTGACCCGCCTTGAGACCTTCAGATGAAGGGTGGTATACAAATTGAATATAATAATAATAATAGTAGTAGTAGTAGTAGTAATAATAATAATAATAATAATATCATCATCTCCTTTGCATGCGGTCCCCAGCAAATCTAAGTAGCAGTGGGAACACCACTGTCTCTGAAATCCTGGAGAGCCACTGCGGGTCACTGTAGACACAATACCGAGCCAGAGAGACCGGTGGTCTGACTCTGCTTCCTATGTTGCAAGTCCTTAGCACAAATTTGCATGAGCTAATTTATATGCACAGGTGCTGGCTTAGGTCTCTGAGCAAACTGAGATGGAAGGTGGCTGGGGTCTCGCCAGAATTGTACTCTGCAGAATATTCAGCAGCCCTGCAAACGAAGTCACTTTTTAAAAAGGGGGGAGGGAAGGTGTATATGATCCGGGGGGGGGGGAACCAGTGTGAAAGCTCCAGGGGCTCAGGCCCCCCCAAGGCACACCCTCACAGCCCCGCTGTATGGAAGCCGTAGCTTGTAGCCTCCTGGACAGGAAAGAAAGATGTGGTTTTTATCCATATATGCATGCATTCACTCGAGCCCATAATGGAGCTGTCAGGAAACAAAAACAATTTACTACGCTATAATTTTGGCAGAGCAGAAATCCTTCGAAGCATGCATTTCTTACCCCGAGAGGGCAGCTGGTTGTTAACCGGAGATTCCCCCCCCCCCCAAAGGCGTGCATGCATAAAAGTTGTGGTCAGCAGAAATAAAAAAAGAGGGAAGAAATGTTAGGAAGGTTTTTTTAAATAGACGAAAACAAAAACACCATTCATTAAGAGCAGAGTGGATGCAAAGCCTTTTTCCTGGCTGACCTGCGCAGCTTCTAGCGCACTCTTGTGGTCTTCCAGCGTCACTACAAGCTGGTCATGTTGAGAGATTAAACTCTTATGCTGCAGCTACACAAAAGAAAACGCCACCATCAAGGTTGATCCCAAATGCACTTCATCAGACACCAAGAAATAATCTTAGGATTGCCAACAGTTTAATTGATTCAGCCCCTGCCTTTCATATAATTATTTTTTGTGTGTGTTTACATCTTACCAACACTTCAGTAAAGTTGCCTTTTTGTGCTGAAATAACTATGGTTTTTGCCTCTTGTGCTGCCCCTGTGTTTTGGCTTTGGACTGCGACCCGCTCCCCCCCCCCTTTTATAGCCCCTGTGAATGGATTTGGGACTGCTGAATTTGGTTTCATCTAAAGCAGGACACTATGTAAATCTGCCATTATTGTTCCCGAGACAGAGAAAGAGGTGTTTGTTAGTGTTTGGAAACCATTTTGAATCAAGATGGCGGACTGAGCCCTTCTGAACTGCCTTGGTTTTAACCAAACATGGCAGGAAACCAGCAAATTCATTACCCATTTATAAACCTCAGGTTTTTTTTGGTTTCTTAGAATTCCCGAGCAACACTGGGTACTTCTTCCCTGGTCTGCTACCTATTTTGGAAAGTTGTTTGCCAGTTTGCTGTGCATTTCAACACCACTTAAGCTACCACAAACAAATTTTACGTGGTGGTTTCTGAGATCAAGGAGCAAGGTTTTGTGCATGCTTGGATTCAAAATGGACAGCGTTTTGGATCAATTTAGTAGGCTGAATCTTTCAAAACTGCAGTAATTTCAACCACTGGTTTCAAAATTGCACTGATTCTTGGGTTTCTTAGAATTCCCAGGCAATACCGGGTTCGAGGCTGCTAGTAAATAATTAAAAAGTAATATCAGCACGTTTGTGCGCACATTTAAGAAAAACATACCCATCGCATCTTTCCTTCCATTAAACAAGAAAAGATCTATTTGCAACCATCATCTTATTTTCCCAGTTGCAAACAAGGAGATTTTTCTCTCTCCCTGCCCCCGACTCTTGCCTTGGGAGGCCCAAGTTCTTACCTTCACATCTTGTAGCTGAGTATGAATATCTTGGTGGGCTTTCCTCAGCTGCCTGTTCTCTTCTCGCAGATTATACATGGATTCTATTAAAAATTCAGCGCAAACAAGAATTGATCCGACAGATTTATACATAGCAGAGAGAGACACAGAGCATCCTAATTATTCACGAATTTAAATATTTGCAGTCAAGTCCTAATGGAAGCTGCGTTAATGCCAACACGGGTGGCAATTCCAGGGAATGGCCTGGCCCCTCTTCCCCCTCCCCAAAATTTAAATCAAGTAACACAATGCTGTACCTTTCAGCTTGGAGAGCTCCTGCTCCTTCTCTTGCTGTAACTCCATATATTTTTCCTTATGATCATTGACCACTCTGTTGAAGTCATCTCCCTGCCTCCTGTGCTCCTCTTCCAGGTCTGCGTGCTGCTTCCTCAGTTCTTCATGCTGGCTCTGCAAAAAGGAGAGGGGGCAGACAAGACACATCACAAGGAATTATTTATCTGACCAGCTGACAACTTATGTATTTGGACGTTCAGGGCAACCCCATCCCAGGATGAGAGCATGTTTTAACATAGGCCTGTAGAATTTCAATACTGCCATGGAGTCAGTCTAGTTAAGATGAAAACCATGAGTAGCATTAACCTTGGGTTAGTGTTGGTGGGAGTGTTAACAATGCCTTGATTTGGACATAACGCTGAACCATGGTTTACCTTTCCCTCTCCACTGGCTCATCCTTTTCAAGTTCCACAGTAAACTATGGTTAGTTTCAAACAGGAAGTGGATTTTTCCAATGTCCTCCTTGCAACCATACCATGAAGTAGAGGGGAAGGAGTAGCGTAACTGGCATAGCACTAAATTATTATTTCTGCATTACATGCAAACCAGATCAGTGATTCAATTTGAATCTTGCCAATGTTGTAAAGTCCTCTGATGGGTCTGTTACCACCTCAGATTGTAGGTGAGGCAGATCGCTGCTTCAGAGTGTTCCCCAAGTCAAACACTTCTCGGTGTGTAGAACAACAGAAGATTAAGGCAGCTGCTGGGGTACAAATGTTCCAGAACAGTTTAAAATTTTGCACACAATCACTGGGAAGCAAACATTTTGCAACCAAGGCCTTCTCATGACACCCAGAAGGTTTATTGGTGTTGGAGACATCCATTTCCCCAAAATGCCAACTAGGACTGGAAGCAAAAAGTTGTCATCTTTTTCTAACTTCCCTGTTAAGACAGGATGCTTAAGAAGATGCATGTATCTACCTTCAACATCTGGTGTTGCACATTCAGTGCTCCATATCTGCTATTGGAATCTTGCTGCAAAACAAAAAGAGTAATATATAGTTAGCTGACATACTCAGCGGCTTCCTGCATAGCTACAGTACCTCTCTGTAAATCATAATACTAGGAAACTCTGAACTTGCCCATGGATCTACTTATAGGGCTGTCCATGTATCAGGCTCGCAGGGCACAGGACAACTTCAAGTTGCAGATTTCCCACAAACAACAGGCCAACTTTAACCCCCCAAGATGGAGGCAGAACACAGAAGAATAGAGAAAGTTTATAGGTCCTTTTAGTTCACAACGGTCTGTATTGACTGATAGTAGCTCTTCCAAGTTTCATGCCTAGCCCAACTTAGTGATCCCAGGGGTTGAACCCAAGACTTCCTGCAAGCAAAGCAGATCCTCCGCCATTGAGCTACAAAGGTGTCAAACTCTGGAGTGGAAGCAGTAGCAAAGCCTCAGCAATTTTCTGAGACATCCCGACATCACTCTCCACCTTCAGAACATGCAAGTTGCACTTCCCCACTGTTTAACTTCAAGCGTCCAAAAATCACCCCCTCCAAATTAAATTGGTCTGGGGGAAAAAACACTTTTTCTGAAGCAAGAAACAGACCCAGCAAATCTACCAGGGGGAAACCTCAGTAACCATTGGACAGCCTTATCCTTTGTGAATTTGTTTAATAAGACTCCTTAAGCCTCGTAGGACAAGTCAAACTCCAAGTAATCTTACTTCTTGTGAATTATAATTATGTATGTTTTCCTTTTTCTTCATACCTTGGAACAGGTTAAATGTTAAGAGCATTCATAACTCTATTATCAGTTCAGCTTATGCAATAAGCAGAAACATCTTGTTCATTACTTCTGCACACTTACCCTTCCTTTATTTAGTGTTTCTTGTGCTTCTAATTTATAAACAAGAAAGTCTAAAAAACAAAAAGGAAGAGAAAATGATGTTAAAAGGCTAAAGTCTATTTATATTTATAATCTCCATCTATACAGCTATTAGGGCGGCATGCGATGTGTTTAAACATTTAAAAGGCATACAATAAATCAACTGCAAAACAATAAAACACATCCAAGAGACAAAGTCAAAACATCTCTGCATACAGGTGGTATCAGTCTAATCTGCTATATCCTTAATTAGGAAGATGAGTTGCTAATTGGAAAGATGGCCTAAACAGGCTGAACAATGAAACCATCTTGCTGTTTTGAGGAAGAAATCTTCTGCATCTCTCCCCCAGACAAAAGAAATGCAGAAAATCTCTTTAACAATACAGAAAGGTGAATTCATTGTTCGTCTCCATTTAGGTCATCCCTGATAAAGATAGACAAATTCAAGAGTCCCTCTGGGTATCTCAGTCCAATGAAGGCGTTGTTCATTAATCATAGCATTGCATCGTTTTAAGTCAGTGTAACTAAGTCCCATTCAGAGTAGCCCCACTAAAATTAACAGACATTGCTAACTTAGGGCCATTAATGTCAATGGGTCTTCTCGTGAGCTGAATACAACCTTTTGCTACGGACCCTGCTGAGGCTGTTGGTTTACACATTCAGCTACTAGGAGAGTCTTCTTCAGGCGTTTGTTGTGCACACATAAAGAGGCAATTGAGAGCACTTGGGACAAAACCAGGTCTCCACAATTACACTGCATGCATAGACACAAGCAACACATAATCCATGTTAGTAGGAAGGTTTACTTGTCCTTAGGGTTTCCAATATGGAGATAGGAACCCCGATCAACCACAGACCCAAGTGGGCGGAGCCAATCACCTGTCAATTGCCTGACATCATGGGATGCCAGGCATGTGCCGTGACATCAGGGATTTCCCATCACACACAGAAATATTAAAGCCACAGCTGCAAAGGAAGAACTGGGAGGGCAAATCAGGCTTGGGAAGGTGGGCATGGACTTATCCAAAACAGCCTCACAGGCCAAATCCAGAGACCTGGGGGGCCTGAAACCCACCACTGGAATAAGGATATACCAGGACTGACTTATTAAGCCTGTGCTACAACTCAGAGATGCAGTGGTCTCTCAGAAGTGCCAACATGACCCAGAAAGCACAGCCCTAGCCGAATGAGCAATGGTTATAATGGGACGCCAGGAGACACTGTTACCTGAATTATGCCATAATCTGCAAAGAGTGTTTGCCTATTGTTCTGAGTACTGGCCAGGAAATATATCCATAGGTATTAACTGTAGAAATATAAATGTGTTTTTGAGTGCAAGAATCAAAACTTTATTTTGGGAAAACACTCATATAGTCAGATGGAGTTTTGTTGCTGTTGTCCTTATCCACTAGATGGCAGTAAAAACTCATTAAGAAACTCCAGAGATTTGCAAAATAGCCAATTCTTATTTTCAAAAATGTTTGGCAAAGCATAACCTATTTTAAAGGAGTCTTGAAAACCGCGATGGCCCTGAATGCAACACAGTGTTCCTGTAATAACAATACAAGTAGGAACAACATTTCTCCTGTTTCCTATCCTTTTTCTTTTTGTGAAAAGTAAAATCTTTTACCTTCTTTTGCTTTCTTATGTTCAAGCCTTTCTTTCTGCAAAGATTTCTCTAATCTTGACCGGTGCTCATATACAACTGAAAAAGGAAAAAATAAATAAACTGGATGTAAATGAGGAGTAGTTCAACAGGTAACAAAATATGTGTGTGTATCCATTTTGAAAACGTAATAAAAATAATAATAATAAACGGATGTACAAGGAATAGGAGGGAAGGAATCCATAACAAAATCAGCAAAAGAAAGTTCTCAGGAACTATCAGTGAAGTTGCACAAACCATGCAATTTGTGCATCGACAATGTGGCCTTTGGGAAATTACAGGTTGCATGCATCCATGTAGCCAAAAGCTTCCCACCTTTACAACCTGATGGCATTACAAGAACAAACCATCTGCGTTAACCATTTGAATGAACTTCCTTTCTTTTAGCTTTCTGGTGCATTCTGAACTCACATAATTGGGCCCAAGGGTCATCTAGTCCAACCCCCTGCAATGTGGAGAATCTCAGCTAAAGCATCCATGACAGATAGCCATCCAACCTCTGTTTAAAAGCCTCCAAGGAAGGAAAGTCCACAACCTCCCGAGGGAGACTGTTCCACTGTCAGAACAGCTCATACCACCAGAAAGTTTTTTCGTATGTCTATTCGGAATCTGCTTTCCTGCAACTTGAAGCCATTGATTCGAGTCCTACCTTCCAGAGCAGGAAAAAACAAGCTGGCTCCATCCTCCATGTGACAGCCCTTCAGATATTTGACAATGGCTATCATATCTCCCCTCAGCCTCCTCTTTTCCAGGCTAAACATACCCAGCTCCTTCGACCGTTCCTCATAAGGCTTGGCTTCTAGACCCTAGAAGGGCCAAAGCTGAGTGGCAGAACATCTGCCTTGCATACAGAAGGTCCCTAGATCATCTCCAGATAGCACTGAGAAAGACCCAACTGCTGCCAGTCAGTGTAGACAATACCAAGTCTGTCTGTTTGTTTCTTCATTAGATTTCTTTCCCTTCTTTCCACCAAGAAGCTCAAGGTCACAGCATGAATGACTTTCCCCCTCCTCATTCTGTCCTCACAGCAAGCCTGGGAGGCTAAGAGACAGTGAATTGACTCAAGGAGCTTCATGAGACAGATTAGATTTGGACCCTGGTCTCCCAGATCCTAGTCAGACACCCTAACCACCACACTGGACACCACTAAACACCACACTGGAGTTCAATGGACAAATGATATGGTATAAGGCAACTTCCTATTTTCAGAAGACAGGATGAGGCCATTAGGGTGCTAAAACCTTTTTGCAATCCTCACATAATTACTGCCTGGTTTCAAAAGACATAGCTTTTTTAAACTGTCTAAACTGAAAGATGCTGCAATCATTTAAAGATTCCAGATGTGTGTGTTTTAAAAACGCATATAATGGAAGCAGTTTTTCCTCCCCTTCTGCTTATGTACATAGTGCAATGCGGGAGGGAAAAGGGATACGAAGGTCTGGCATTATAAACAGGGAAAAATCAGTTGGCAGCAGTCAATGGCGGCCCAAAGGGATGATAAACCTAATCACACATCAACACACAGTCAATACATGCCAAGTGAACTAGCAATAAATCAAGAAAAGTCAGAATTATCTTCAATCTGATTATGCATTCTTTCCACCCTTTAATTGGAGCATGGGCGAGGGGAGAAAAAGAACACAATGGAATTGAAAATTAAAAGCCTTTTTCTTCTCCCACCTCTCTGCCACAACCCCCCCCCCCCCGTAGATGTGACTTGATTGCAAATTATCATATTATGTGAATAATTCACTCAGCGATTCTTAAGTAAGGGGGGTGGAGGGAGTCACAGAACACCCCAAGATGTGCTGATTGCCTCCAAGTTAGACAGGTGTACGAAACCCTGGAGAGTCACTGCTGCCAGTCCGTGTGGACAATACTGAGGTGGTTGGAACAATGGTCTGATGCAGTACTAGGCAGCTTCCTAATAGTTTGGATTTGATATCCCGCTTTATCACTACCCTAAGGAGTCTCAAAGCGGCTAACATTCTCCTTTCCCTTCCTCCCCCACAACAAACACTCTGTGAGGTGAGTGGGGCTGAGAGACTTCAGAGAAGTGTGACTGGCCCAAGGTCACCCAGCAGCTGCATGTGGAGGAGCGGAGATGCAAACCCGGTTCCCCAGATTATGAGTGTACCACTCTTGACCACTACACCACACTAGCTCTTATCTGCTTGATGTAGGGTAACTCTGTGGTATGAGCAGGTTCAATCCTTGACATCTTCAGAGGGACTGCCCTCTGTCTGAAATTCCGAAATTCCCAGTTCATTTAGACAATACCAAGGTAGATGGACCAATGGTCTGATTCAGTAGACGCTGTGTTCCTTCAACAGCATACGACCCAACTATCTGAAAGGCCACCTCCTTTCCTACCGGGGTTAAGGATAGCAAAGAAGGCCCTGTTGAGAGGCACCTAGTATTTTCCTTATATAGCTTCCATCGTATGTTGTGGAACTCTGGCCTTTTGACAGTTAAGGGTGGTATCCAATGCAAAAGAACTTCCCCACTCCCCGTGATGGCTGTTCTCTGTCTCCAGTCAAAGACAGTAATGTTTCTGAGTCCCAGTAGCTGGAGACTATGGTGGGGTTTTTTTCTTCTTGTGCTCAGGTCCTGTCTGCAAGTTTCCTTGTGTTCTCTGTAAGAACAGAATGCTGGACTAGATGGGTCACTGGCCTGATCCAGGAAACTCTTCTTATGTTCTCCCCCTGCAGCTTTCCCCAATCTGTTCTAAAGTGTGGGAAACCACAAGAACAAGTTTAGGGGGTGCATAGGGGGAGGAGAGAGGGGGTGCTCAGCTGTGAAACTGTAAATACTTGCACCAACATAATGAGTCACTGCTTTGGATACAACCCTAAGGCATTTGGTTTTACAGGACCCCCAACTTTTGTCGAATCTATATTGTTCTGGCTTGAGCTGCGATGGCTTTACTGCCTTATTTGTTTTTATCACTGCATCTTTCATTGTTGTAACCTGCCCTGTGGTGAAGGACAGCTAAGGAATCTTATAAAAAGGTACAGGGGACACGGGTGGTGCTGTGGTCTAAACCACTGAGTCTCTTGGGCTTGCCGATCGGAAGGTTGGCGGTTCGAATCCCTGTCACGGGGTGAGCTCCCGTTGCTCTGCCCCAGCTCCTGCCAACCTAGCAGTTCGAAAGCATGCCAGTGCAAGTAGAGAAATAGGTACCACTGTGGCAGGAAGGCAAACAGTGTTTCCGTGCGCTCTGGTTTCTGTCACTGTGTTCTGTTGCGCCAGAAGCAGTTTTGTCATGCTGGGCACATGATATGGAAAGCTATCTGTGGACAAACGCCGCCTCTCTCAGCCTGAAAAGCAAGATGGGCGCTGCAACCCATAGTCACCATCAACTGGACTTAACCGTCCAGGGGTCCTTTACCTTTACTTACAAATTACTTGGGGATAAAGCGAAGGGTACTAGTTATGACGGGACGTGGGTGGTGCTGTGGTCTAAGCCACTGAGCCTAGGCCTTGCCAATCAGAATGTCGGCAATTCGAACCCCAGCAACGGGGTGAGCTCCCGTTGCTCAGTCCCAGCTCCTACCAACCTAGCAATTCGAAAGCACGTCAAAGTGCAAGTAGATAAATAGGTACCACTCCAGCGGGAAGGTAAACGGTGTTTCCATGCGCTGCTCTGGTTCGCCAGAAGTGGCTTAGTCATGCTGGCCACATGACCAGGAAGCTGTACGCCGGCTCCCTCGGCCAGTAAAGTGAGATGAGCGCCGCAACCCAGAGTTGTCCGCGACTGGACCTAACGGTCAGGGGTCCCTTTACCTTTACCAGTCATGACAGCTGAATGCTACCTTCAGGATCAGAGGAAGTATGACTCTGCGTACAAGTTCCCTGGGGAACAAAAACGGGAGATAGACATTGTCCTCATGCCCTGCTTGTGGGTTTCCCTGGCTGACCAATGTGCTGGATTTGACAGGCCTTTGGTCTGATCCAGCAAAGCTTTGGTCTGATCCAGCAAAGCTCTCCTATTGTTCTTATGACCTGATGTTGCAAAGAAAATGAGATGTGGTGTTCTGAACCATATTCCCCAATAATAACCCAGAGGTCGCATCCTCATCCTTCCTTGGTTCTCCCCATTGACTTCAGCGGAATTTAAGCAAGCTTAAATGTGCCGGACAGCAGCCTCCAATTTATTAAATTCCATCTCAGAGGGTGGTTTGTATTCATTTCACTTACACAACAGCCCTACCTTAACTTAGGACAGCTGCTCAGCTTGTCCTAAACCCATCAACCTGTTTCATCCTTGCAGGGCAGCAGTTGAAGAAGGAGCAAAAAGGGTTTTCTTGTGTGTGTGTGTGTGTGTGTTTCTTTGTGGCTGATTAGCTGCTCTCCCTGTGCAAAGGTCAGAGGGGGCAGGGTTTCTGTTGAGGCAGGTGATTAGCTGTGGGAGGAGCTTATCAGAGCTTCCAGGGCAGCGGCATGCGCCTAGGGGCACGCGCAGTTTGATCCATCTTTTAGATTTGGGGAGCTAGTCTCAAACGTTTGTTGGGGGAGACCTAGGTTTTTTTTCGGGGGGTGGGAATTATTAATCCTGTCTTCACGCTTTTATGATGGAGGACCGCTGTAGCCACCCCCAACTACACGTTCTCAAGATGGAGGGGGAGGGAACAGCTGCAGTCGCCTGCGGTTCCTGTGCAATGTTTGCCATCTTGCCAAAGGTTGCAGGCAGCTTTACCTGCAGCAATTGCATGTTGATTGCCCTCTTAAAAGACAAAGTCCAGCAACTGGAGGAACGTGTAGCTACGCTCCAAAGAATTAGAGAGCTGGAGCTCTTCTTGGAAGCAACAGAGCACACCGTCTCCACCAAGGAGGAGACAGGGGACTCCCCTGTGAAGGAGGCTAGTTCACCAACACAGGAGTCAGATATATGGAGAAACGTGACTCAAAGAAGTAGGAGGCCCAGGGTTCGCTCTGATTGTTTAGAAATACACAATCGCTTTGAGGTCCTCTCCCCTAGCATGGAAGACGAAGAGCAGACTCCATTTGAGGATCTCTCCCTCATTACAGTCGATCAGGTATATGAAGACGAGCAGCAAAGTCAGTCCTCAGGGAATGTGCAGGCGACCTTGGAACGGACAGCGCACGGAAGAACCCTGACCAAACCTAAGAGGAGGCGTGTAGTGGTGATAGGGGATTCCCTACTGAGGTGAACAGAAGCAGTGATCTGTGGGCCTGACAAGATGTCTCGGGTATTGTGCTGTCTCCCGGGGCTAAGATCCAAGATGTAACTGAACGACTGCAAGGAATCATAAAACCCACTGACAAATACCCCTTCCTCTTGGTTCATGTGGGAACCAATGACACTGCAAGCAATAGCCTCCAGAAGATCAAAAGAGACTACGAGGCTCTGGGCAGGAAATTGAAGCAATTAAATGCACTAATTGTCATCTCATCTGTCCTCCCAGTTGAACGACGTGGCCCAGGGAGAGAGGGAAAAATAGTGGAAGTGAACAGCTGGCTTCGCAAATGATGTAAACAGGAACGGTTTGGATTCTTAGATCATGGACTGCAGTTTCTTGAAGATGGACTTCTGGCAAGCGATGGGCTGCACCTCACAACGGTTGGGAGAAATGTTTTTGCCAAAAATCTCAGAAACCTCATCAGGAGGGTTTTAAACTGACTAATGTGGGGGAGGGAGACAGTGCTCCTGAAGGTAGGAGTCTATCAATTGATGAAGATGATCATCCAAATGTCATAGACCAAATGGAGCAAACAGCATGCAGACCTAGTGGTGGGAGGAAAAAATCCTTAAATAAGAGACACAGGGGAATGATTAATGGACTTCAATGTCTGTACACTAATGCGCAAAGCATGGGAAATAAACAAGATGAGCTTGAGCTCTTGGTACAGCAAACTAAATATGACATAATAGGCATCACTGAAACCTGGTGGGATAAGTCCCACGATTGGAATGTAATAATGGGGGGATACAATCTATTTCAGAGAAACAGACCAGAACAAGAAAGGAGGAGGAGTGGCGTTATATGTCAGGGATGTGTATACCTGTGAAGAGATCCAAGATTTAGAACCTCAAAGCCAAAGTGAGAGCATTTGGGTCAAAATTAAGGAGAGAAGAATAACAGTGACCTCATTGTGGGAGTTTACTATAGATCCCCAAGCCAAGCGGAGGACATAGATGATGCCTTCCTGGAACAGATGGCCAAGCATGCAAAAGGAAGGGAGATAGTAGTAATGGGGGACTTCAATTACCCGGATATTTGTTGGATGTCAAACTCAGCCAAGAGCATAAGGTCAAACAGATTCCTCACTGGCCTTGCAGACAACTTCATTGTCCAGAAAGTGGGAGAAGCAACAAGAGGAACAGCCATTTTAGATCTGGTCCTAACCAATGTTGATGACCTGGTTAGTGGGGTAGAAGTGGAAGGATCATTAGGCGCGAGTGATCATGCTCTTCTGAAGTTTACTATACAACGGAAAGGAGCAGCCAAGCATACTAGGACTCAATTTCTTGACTTTAAGAAAGCTGACTTCATAAAACTTAGGGAAGTGCTGGGTGAGATCCCATGGACAGTAATACTAAAAGGAAAGGGAGTTCATGATGGCTGGGAGTTTGTTAAGAGGGAGATAGTAAAAGCACAACGTCAGGCAATACCAATGAGACGGAAACATGGAAGGTGCCTAAAGAAGCCAGGGTGGCTTTCTAAAGAACTTTTAACTGAGTTAAGATTAAAAAAGGATGTGTACAAAAAATGGAAAAGGGGGGAAACCACCAAAGAGGAATTCAAACAAATAGCCAGCACGTGTAGACACAAAGTCAGAAAAGCTAAAGCACAGAATGAACTCAGGCTTGCTAGAGAGTTAAAAGCAACAAAAAAGGCTTTTATGGGTATGTTCGTAGCAAAAGGAAGAACAAAGAAACAGTGGGGTCACTCAAAGGAGAAGATGGTGAAATGCAAACAGGGGACACAGAAAGGGCTGAACTCCTCAATGCCTTCTTTGCCTCAGTCTTCTCCGATAAAAAAAACAATGCCCGACCTGAAGAATTTGGAGCAAATGATTCAGCAGAGGAAACACAGCCCAGAATAACAAAGGAGATAGTACAAGAATACTTGGCTAGTTTAGATGTATTCAAGTCTCCAGGGCCAGATGAACTGCATCCAAGAGTATTAAAAGTATTAAAAGAACTGGCAGATGTGATCTCAGAACCACTGGCAGTCATCTTTGAGAATTCCTGGAGAACAGGCGAAGTCCCGGCAGACTGGAGGAGGGCAAATGTTGTCCCTATTTTCAAAAAGGGGAAAAGAGAGGACCCAAATATTTACGGCCCAGTCAGTCTGACATCAATACCAGGGAAGATTCTGGAGCAGATTATTAAGCAAACAGTCTGTGAGCACGTAGAATGGAATGCTGTGATCACCAATAGTCAACATGGATTTCTGAAAAATAAGTCATGTCAGACTAACCTGATCTCGTTTTTTGACAGAATTACAAGCCTGGTAGATGAAGGGAACGCAGTGAATGTAGCCTACCTTGATTTCAGCAAGGCATTTGACAAGGTGCCCCATGATATTCTTGTAAAGAAGCTGGTAAAATGCGGTCTTGACTATACTACCACTCAGTGGATTTGTAACTGGCTGACTGACCGAACCCAAAGGGTGCTCATCAATGGTTCCTCTTCATCCTGGAGAAGAGTGACTAGTGGGGTGCCACAGGGTTCTGTCTTGGCCCGGTCTTATTCAACATCTTTATCAACGACTTGGATGATGGACTCAAGGGCATCCTGATCAAATTTGCAGATGACACCAAACTGGGAGGGTGGCTAACACCCCAGAGGACAGGATCACACTTCAAAACAACCTTGACAGATTAGAGAACTGGGCCAAAACAAACAAGATGAATTTTAACAGGGAGAAATGTAAAGTATTGCACTTGGGCAAAAAAATGAGAGGCACAAATACAAGATGGGGGACACCTGGCTTGAGAGCAGTACATGTGAAAAGGATCTAGGAGTCTTGGTTGACCACAAACTTGACATGAACCAACAGTGTGACGCGGCAGCTAAAAAAGCCAATACAATTCTGGGCTGCATCAATAGGAGTATAGCATCTAGATCAAGGGAAGTAATAGAGCCACTGTATTCTGCTCTGGTCAGACCTCACCTGGAGTACTGTGTCCAGTTCTCGGCACCACAGTTCAAGAAGGACACTGACAAACTGGAACGTGTCCAGAGGAGGGCAACCAAAATGGTCAAAGGCCTGGAAACGATGCCTTATGAGGAATGGCTAAGGGAGCTGGGCATGTTTAGCCTGGAGAAGAGGAGGTTAAGGGGTGATATGATAGCCATGTTCAAATATATAAAAGGATGTCACATAGAGGAGGGAAAAGGTTGTTTTCTGCTGCTCCAGAGAAGCGGACACAGAGCAATGGATCCAAACTACAAGAAAGAAGATTCCACCTAAACATTAGGAAGAACTTCCTGACAGTAAGAGCTGTTCGACAGTGGAATTTGCTGCCAAGGACTGTGGTGGAGTCTCCTTCTTTGGAGGTCTTTAAGCAGAGGCTTAACAACCATATGTCAGGAGCGCTCTGATGGTGTTTCCTGCTTGGCAGGGGGTTGGACTCGATGGCCCTTGTGGTCTCTTCCAACTCTATGATTCTATGATTCTATGATCCTTACAAACTTAAATTAAAGAAACGCTGCTAGGAATGACCTGAACAGCTGTGTTTCCAAGTCTCTATACTCGGTTCGGCAAGAATCGGCACACTTTGCGCAGTGTTAAGATGGTGCTGTTTCTGGAACGAAACAATTTAGCCATTTCAGCATTCTGCCTCCCAACTGTACTTCCCTCAGTGTCCTGTGGAAATGTGCAAACAGACTATGGTGACAATACTCCTCACTTTAAAATTATTGATTGATTTTAGCGGGAATTTTACCCTGAAGATCACAAAAGCAATTATTCCCTAAGTGTAAATAATGAAAAGTTAGTTTAAAGAAATGAAACTACTATCTTACGTTTTAGCTTGGTTATAATAGGATCATGGAAAATTCCCCAAAGTTTTAATACACTTTTTGGAGATGTGTAAATAATGAAAAATTAGTTTTAAAAAATGAAACTACTATCTTACGTTTTAGCTTGGTTATAATAGGATCATGGAAAATTCCCCAAAGTTTTAATACACTTTTTGGAGATGCCAGAGACTGGTCCTGCCCTCTGAAACCCAAAGCAGTAACAACTAATAATGATATGTAATAATAAGGCTGTTGTTGTTTAGTCATTTAGTCGTGTCCAATTCTTTGTGACCCCATAGACCAGGCACACCAGGCACTCCTGTCTTCAACTGCCTCCCGCAGTTTGGTCAAACTCATGCTGGTAGCTTCAAGAACACTGTCCAACCATCTCTAGCTCTGTCGTCCCCTTCTCCTTGTGCCCTCCATCTTTCCCAACATCAGGGTCTTTTCCAGGGAGTCTTCTCTTCTCATGAGGTGGCCAAAGTACTGGAGCCTCAGCTTCACGATCTGTCCTTCCAGTGACCACTCAGGGCTGATTTCCTTCAGAATGGATAGGTTTGATCTTCTTGCAGTTCATGGGACTCCCAAGAGTCTCCTCTTAATAAGGCTAGTTACTTAATAAGGCTAGTTACTCCTAATAAGGCTAGTTACTCTCAATTGCCACAGGACTGCAGAATCAAAGGGAGGCATACTCTCTGACCTCTCCCACCAGTCAGGACATTAAGGGCACTGGGAGGCTGTACCTTGTCTCTTATAAAGAATATCATGCCACTGGGGAGTAAAACCTGGTCCCATCCATTAGCCAGTGCAGAAGAAGCTGCCCTAACGCTTGCTTGCCTCTTCCCTCCCTATTCCTTTTTCTTTATGTATCGTGGCTATTAGATTGTGGGCCTGCAGGCAGGTAATCTTATCTTCTGATACGTATAAAATGCTTAGATAATTTCAGGTGCTTTGTAAGTGTTTAATGGTCTGCATAGAGCTGAACAATAATGAAAAATATTAATAATTAGCAAATAATGCGGTGCATATATTGAAACATCTGGTTTAAATAATCTGGTTTAAAAACCAGCAAAACATTGACCTTCTGACATCTGTGGTCCAATTCATCACCACAGCCATAGTTTCAGGGTGTTACAAAACTGTGAACTTCTAAACTCAACGATGAAATCATCTTTTTATTACTCTTATTTTTAAAATTAGAAGAGAAAGAGAGAGGGAACTCTAATTAAACACGGTTGTTGTTTTAATTAAGAATGAATTCTTCCAAATTTCAGGTTAGAATTGCATAGTGGATTTTTTTTCTGGCTGTTTGTATGTACACTTAAAAAAAAATAGGCCCACTGTATAAAAGCAGAATCTCTGTCCTCCCAAAATTTTCCACTTGGCATAAGAAGCTTTTGAAAACCAAGAGCTTATTCATTCCTTCTGCATTCTCTCATTTCCTTTCAATAAAGCAAGTACCTCAGTACAGAGGGCACTATTAGAAACTTGAATGTTGCAAATTCATATAATTAATGTCATTGGTATATTGGAAGCCTTAACTGGAGTGGGCGGACATTTATTCTTCCACTTCATTATTATAAAATGACAATCGAAAGGATGAGAAATGTTCAGAAAGGATAGGTCTACTAAAGGTTATTAGCTAGGAAGGACATTTGCAGGGGGTAGACACCTCTGATTGCCAGATCCTGGGGACAAAGATGAATAAGAGGCTTTATGGCTGACATCTCTTTGCTTTTAAACTTTATGGTTAAGAGGATCATATCTGGTAGAGACAAAAAACCCCAATCCACTAGAGCAGGGGTCAGCAACCTTTTTCAGCTGTGGGCCGGTCCACCATCCCTCAGACCATGTGGTGGGCCAGACTATATCTTTTTTTTGGGGGGGGGGAATGAACAAATTCCTATGCCCCACAAATAACCCACAGATGCATTTTAAATAAAAGGACACATTCTACTCCTGTAAAAACATGCTGATTCCCAGACTGTCCACAGACTGGATTGAGAAGGCAATTGGGCCACATCCAGCCCCCAGGCCTTAGGTTGCCTACCCCTGCACTAGAGACTCTCCAAGCTGATGCTCTCAATGTCTTTTGGAATGTAAATGCCCATCATCCCTGGCCAACATCGGAGGGAACCAGTCTGGGGAAGTCTCAGAGGTGAGCCCCGCTGAGTCCAATGGGACTTACCAATTAAAAGTGTGTCTGGGGCTGCAGACCAAGCATTGCTTTCTCCTGCCTTAAACTTAAAATGGCAGCGAGTGCACAGATATGAAAATATATTTTACTCTGGCAAAAGAAAGAACCATGGTGCAGATCTATAACAACTAAGGACACAATTTTGCCTTAGCAGTGTTGTTGCTGTTGCTTTTAACATAAATAACTTTAAAGACAACTTTTTGGCTAGGACTCTGTTTCAAAAGTTACTCCATCCTTGACGCAACAGCGGAATTGGTTTTCTAAGATGTTATGGAGCTTATCTGATCCTAATGTTTTAGAATACTATAACCAAACATTATGGGATTCTAGTATTTTTCTTGGCTCAGCCCTCATCTCCAACGATTTCTGGCCAGAGAGAAGAAACCCAGGAGGGAGATGTGGTTACCAATATCTCAAAACTGTTAAAGCCACTTCCTCAAAGCAGTTTTGTTACACAAGGATTAAGACAGATACACTCAAGCAACAAATCTTATGTGGAAAAGCAGAACAGTCAAGGCCCTTGAATTTATATACGTTATGAAGACTCACACCTTCAGTGTCACACATTTTGGTTATGTACATTAACCACAACATAAACACACATGCACGAATTTAATGACCTGTGTGTGCTTCCCACCGTTCAACACATTTAGAGTTATCTAGAAGTGCAAAGCGTAGGGTTTCCAGGTATTTTGAGGCTCAAGACTTAAAGAGAGTGGGGGCTATGAGATAAATAGAGGTGCCCAGCAGATCAGAGGGTGGGAACCTGGTAGGAGCAGCTGTGCCAACTGCATCAGCCTGGAACCAGATGAACATGGAAGGGGGCATTCAATAGCAAAAGCTTTCAAGCCAAGTAGAAAATACTCTTACCCCCAAGATTTAGGACATTCCCTTAGAGATCGAGGTGTTTGTGGAGTGTAAAAAAGAGGTGGAGATTTAGATCCAGCCAACAGACCAGATCCTTATTTCCCCAACCCCTACAGGCCAAATTTGACAAGTATCACCCAATGTTACAATGACAGCAGGTGGCCCATTTTTGCCCATAATGCTTAAAATCAAAGGGTGCAGATGAAGGCACTGTGCCTTTCAAGCACCGATGATCAGCTGATTGTCAGCACCTGCAGAGCACTATTTGCAAGCCTCGCCAGTCCCCTGATTGACAGGGCTTGCAAAGGGTTGTGCAGGGGACTTTGCAGGTGCCAACAATCAGCTGACATGGGGTGTCTGGAAACCGCAGCCCAGTCATGTGTTTATCTGCCCCACACCGGGCATCAAACGGGGGAGGCCTGGTGGGTCTGATGAGGCCCATGGGCTGGAGGTTCCCCATCCCCTGGCTTAAAATTCTGAAATGCACAGCAAACCCCAAGACATGAGCAGCTTAAGGATGCACACTATTATCTGATGCAAGAAGGAAGGGATGGATGGGAGAAAGTCATGTGACATGAGTCCAAGGCGCAAAACGGATTCATCAGCTAAGGTACCGTTAAGGATTCCCCACTGGAATGCACCAGTTTCCCATTAATCCAAAGCACTTAGACAAGACCTTCTAGCCTGTGAATTATTTAACTGTGCATTACTAGAGCATACATTAGCAGGGTGCTTCGCAACATGATTTAAGAGGAGTTCTTTTCCTTCTCGCCCAACAAGTCCAAACAAGCGTAGAAGCCATAAAACATCACTTCTCCACTTCCAACAACTCAGTAGGAGTATTTTATTTCCAGAATGAAAAGTAGAAACGTTCAGAATGAAAAGTAGAAACCAACCCTCTGAAGTGGCTTGGTTCGGCTCCACGCTGGCAGTTTGCGAGGGAAGTGGAGCCTCAGCATCTGTAAGTGTCTCTTCCGGAGCCACGAGCGCAGTTGGGGGCGCAGTTGGGGGCACCACGGTAGTGTCCAAGTCCCCAACCCTGCGCCTAAGCTGGTCTATGTGCCGGCACCACAAGCGTCCGTCTTCGAGTGCCACCTGGTACGAGCGAGGTCCAGTGACTCCCACTACTGTGGCTGGCACCCAAGGAATGTCCCCCACATAGTTCCGGGCAAAGACCTGGTTTCCTGAAACAAATGACCGTGGCGCATTGGCACAGCCTGGGGGTTCGGGGTTCGGGTGCAGCTGGTCGAGTGGGGACCTGAGGCGGCGGCCCATAAGCAGTTCAGCAGGACTCCGCCCTGTGGCCGCATGAGGGGTGATGTGTTGCACAAACAAGTATTCGGCGACCCACTCGTGCCAATCTCCCCGGTCCAGGCACGCCAGTGCCTCTTTTGCCGAGCGCACCATCCTCTCCGCCTGCCCGTTGCTGGATGGATGAAATGGTGCCGTTAGGGCATGGCGGATGCCCAGTCCCAAAAGATACCACTCAAAAGTGCCTGATGTGAACTGCGGTCCGTTGTCGGAGACAAGGACATCAGGACACCCATGCGTCGCAAAGAGGCCTCGCAGCACCCGGATGACGGCCTCGGTAGTGGTGGAGGGCATCAGGGCCACCTCCAGCCATTTGGAATAGACATCTACCACTACCATAAAGGTCTGGCCGTGAAAGGGGCCGGCCAGATCGATGTGCACCCTCGACCAGGGTGTCTTGGGCGTCTCCCAGGTGTGTCCCTTAGCTGCCGGTGGTGCAGGCCTTGATTCTTGGCACGCTTGACAGGCGGACACCCAGGCAGTGATGGCATCGTCCATGTTAGGCCACCAGACGTAACACCGAGCCAACGCCTTCATCTTGACGATTCCCAGGTGGCCAACGTGCAGAGCCTCCAGGACACGTTGACGGAGTCTTTGGGGAATCACGACGCGGTCTTCCCACAGCAGACAGCCGCGATGAGCCGAGAGTTCATGTTGTCTGGTTGCGAACGGTTGGAACTCCGATGCAAAAGGCCCTTGTGGCCACCCCCTCCACACCCAGTTGAGCACACGGCTGATGGTGCGATCCTGGGCAGATGCGGAGGCCACAGTGGCAGCCGATACAGGCGCTGCCGGAAGATCCTCAATCAGGAGGAGCGATGAAGCAGGAGCCGGGTCCTCCACAAACGCTGGAAGAGGGCAATGGCTGAGGGCGTTGACATGGCCCATCGATTTCCCGGGCGATGGAAGAGCCGGTAGTGGTAGGCAGCCAAGAAAACAGTCCATCGCAGCATGCGCGGCGAAAGGACCAGTGGAGTTGGACGATCACCGGCGAGGAGGCCCAGGAGCGGCTTGTGGTCAGTGATGAGGTCAAAAGTCCTGCCGTAGAGGTATTCATGGAACCTCTTCACTCCAGCCACAAGTGCCAGTGCCTCCTTGTCGAGCTGGCTGTAATTCCGTTCCGTTGGAGATAGCGTCCTGGAAAAGTAGGCGAGCGGTGCTTCTCTTCCGTCTGGAAAACGGTGACTAAGGACAGCGCCGATGCCAAAAGGTGAGGCGTCACAGGCAAGGACCAGCAGCCTGGCTTCACTGTACTGTACCAGCACACTGTCCAATGAAAGGAGAGCCTTGACCGCGTTGAAGGCCGCCGTCTCCCGATGACCCCAGGACCAAGGCGTCTTTGTGCTGAGGAGTCGGTGAAGAGGCTCAGCTGTTGATTTAAAGCAGAGTCTGTCGTGCCCAGCGGAAGGATGAGCAATACGTGCTACATACTCTATATTGCTTTATTTACAGTTCAAAGCTGGTATATTACAGAAAGACATCTTGCCTCTGCCGGAGCAGAGAAATGCATCCTCTCTCCTCAACAGCTCGGAGAGAATCACACAGTGAAAAACAGGAAACCAGTGTACGTCACATCCAGTCTCCCTTTCCCGTGAGAAACTCCAACAGTACAGACTGTGGAATGTAAGCACCTGTCTTGTGACTGCAGTTGCTGCTCAGTGAAGGAAATAGAAACCAACATCCTCCCCCTTTCTGTGAACATCACTGGGCAGCGTGTTCGTACAGTATCAGTACAAACCCAACTTCTGCACATAGGTACAGTGTTGATCCCTTGATACAATCTTGGACAATACATCAGCAGGAATTTCATTACCTGGCATATAGGACACCGTTACGAGTCCCTTCTGAATACATTCCCTAGCATGCTGCAACTTTAATTGTAAGTGCTTTGTGCTTTGCTTACAACCTTCAGACTTCAGCAAAGCCAAACATGCTTTGTTGTCCTGGTAAACCTGGATTGGACATTTGACAGGAATTTTCATATCTTTGCACAATTGTACTAACCATTCACAATCCTTAAGTGAATAAGACAGTGCATTCAGTTCAGCTTCACAAGTACTTAAGCTAACTGTTGTTTGCTTCTTGCATGACCAATCAAAAAGACCCTGATTGTACATGTAGCAAACTCCAGACGTACTTTTCCTGTCTGTAGCGTCACTTCCAAAACTTGCATCTGCAAATATCTCAAGACCACCAGACTTCTGATTGTTAAATCTCAGTCTGTAATGCATAGTGCCTTTCAAATACCGCGCTATGCGTTTCAGAGCTTTCCAATCCTTGACACTAGGATTGTTGACTTGTCTGCTTAGCAAATTACAGCTAACAGCAATGTCTGGTCTTGAACATCTGGCAATGAAGTTTAGCTTGCCTAGCACACTCCTGTACAGTGTAGTGTCAGAAAATGCTTCTTCAGTGTCATCTACCTGATAACCTGTTGTCATCGGTGTGTCTACAGGGTTAGCATCCATCAGATTTAGTTTGCTTAACACATCAGCAATTTTCCGTGACTGGTGTACTAGAATGTTACCATCTTGATCTCTCTCTATTTCCAGAGATAGGTAGTTGTTTACCTCACCAAGATCTTTCATGTCAAAGTGCTCTTTCAGTTGAGCTAGGGCGTTATTGTACATTGCAACATCTTTCCAAAAGAATAATAAATCATCAACATAAAACAAACAGTACAGTTTCTTTTGCCCCTCCTCTTTGACAAATACACATGGATCAGCTTTCCCTTGCTGAAAACCTAGAGAAAACAATACTTCAGTGAGTTTTGTGTGCCAACACCGTGCACTTTGTTTGAGACCATAAAGGGATTTCTTCAGAGCACAAACAAATCCCTGTTTTACCTGTACGCCATCAGGTGGAAGCATATAAAGTGATTCATCTAGAGATCCGTACAGAAAAGCTGTATTAATATCATGGTGACTAATGTGTAGATTTTCCTCTGCAGCTAGCTTAAGCATAAGCCTAATGCTTTCATATCTCACTGTGGGTGAATAGGTCTCGTGATAGTCTTCACCTGGTACCTGTGCAAAACCTCTGGCTACCAATCTGGCTTTGTGTCTGACTATCTTGCCATTTTGATCTGTCTTCGCTTTGAAGACCCATTTGCTTCAAGCAGTTTCATTCCTGGAACTACTGGAACTAGCTCCCATGTTTTGTTCCTTTCTAAGGAATCAAGCTCAGCCTTCATGGCATTTAACCATGGCTCAGCTTCCTTCGAATCCAAACCCTGGATTTCTTGGAAACGTGAAGGTTCAAATACCTTCTTGGAGCTTTTAACAGCTGTTACTGCTATCGTAGCAAACGCATCAGCAAATCTCTTTGGAGGTTTGCCTTTTGTGGCTCTCTGTGACCTACGAATTAGCCTTAAGTCTTCAACACTCTCCTCTTCCTTCTTAGGAGAAAAACGACCTATTGTGAACAATGGTTCCTCCAATTCTTGATCAGAGCTTTCAGAGGGTTCGCATAGAGGCTTTCGCACTCTCGAAATCCTCTGAATCACCCGATTCAGTTTCAGATTCAGACTCAGAACCTTCATCAGTGGGTGTGGGCTGTTGTGGTTGCTTTGACTATCCTCAGTCTCATCACCGTCATCAGGATAACATTGGAAAATTCCCACATTCTCCCCCACTTTGCATTGTACTCGACACTTCTCGTGAGCTTAATTGTCTTAGAGTCAGTCATCATTATTCTGTAAGACCCTTTCTGATAACCTAGAAAGATACCATGCAATCCACGCTTGTCTAACTTGGAGTTTTGTGGTGAGCGAACCCACATGTCAGAACCAAAAATCTTCATGTGTTTGATGTCTGGGCCCATAACCACGTGTTGATTTAAAGCAGAGTCTGTCGTGCCCAGCGGAAGGATGAGCAATACGTGCTACATACTCTATATTGCTTTATTTACAGTTCAAAGCTGGTATATTACAGAAAGACATCTTGCCTCTGCCGGAGCAGAGAAATGCATCCTCTCTCCTCAACAGCTCGGAGAGAATCACACAGTGAAAAACAGGAAACCAGTGTACGTCACATCCAGTCTCCCTTTCCCGTGAGAAACTCCAACAGTACAGACTGTGGAATGTAAGCACCTGTCTTGTGACTGCAGTTGCTGCTCAGTGAAGGAAATAGAAACCAACATCAGCCACCGTGGCTTTGTGGGGCAGGAACATGTTATAAAAGTTCAGCAGCCCCAGGAACGCCTGCAACTCCGTCTTGTTCTTTGGGATGGGGGCCTGCTGGATAGCGCGGATCTTGGATGTGGTCGGGTGAAGGCCGGAGGCGTCGATCAGATAGCCCAGGAACTCCACCTGTGGAACAGCGATCTGGCACTTCTCCCTCTTTACCTTGAGTCCGGTCTCCTGGAACCTGGTCAGTACGGCACAGAGGCGCTCGAGCAGCTGCTGGTGTGAGTCTGCAGACACCAAGACGTCATCAAAATATGGTACCACGCCCAGAAGCCCTTGCAGGAGACGCTCCATAAGGCTTTGGAAGATGCCAGGAGCCACACTCACCCCGAACTGCAACCAGCAGCAACGGAATGCCCCTCGGTGGGTGACAATCGTCTGGGCTTCAGCAGTGGCATCATCGACAGGCAGTTGTTGATAGGCTTGGGCAAGGTCCAGCTTAGCAAAGACCTTACCCTCACCCAGGGAATGCAGCAGGTATTGGACAACAGGAACCGGATAAGCGTGCTGCTGAAGTGCCTTGTTGATCGTGCACTTGTAGTCAGCGCAGATTCTCACCGACCCGTCTGGCTTGACAGGCGTGACGATGGGGGTTTCCCACTTGGCGTGGTCAACCGGCTCCAAAACTCCTTGGCTGATCAGCTTGTCCAGTTGTTCGTCCACCTTAGCCCTGAGAGCAAAGGGAACCCGGCGTGGCTTTAGCTTGATGGGGGCGACTTGTGGATCAAGGCTAAAGGAGATGGGCGTACCTGTATATTGCCCCAAAGTGCCATCAAAAACCTCGGCAAAGTCTTTGACCAGACCCTCAGTCTCTGCGTTAGAGATGCAGTTGATGCCGGTGACTTCCAGGCCGAGGGCATCAAACCAGTCTAGCCCTAGGAGGCTTGGCCGCTGAGCTTCGACCACCACCAGTCGGAGCAGGCCCGAAAAATTGTTGAAGGCGATCCGGAACCGGCCAACGCCTACCACAGGAATGTTGTTTCCCTGGTAGTCTCTCAGGTGTACGCGGTGAGAGTCGAGTTGCCTTTTGGACACTCTGGGTACCAGTCTTTTGATGGTGCTCCAAGACACGATGGACAGGGCAGACCCGCTGTCGATCTCCATGTCACATGGAGCTCCTTCAATGAGCACTGTGACGTTCAGCTTGCGTCGCGTAGGCGAGTCGGTTTGGCTAATCGTGGTTCCAGACGGGCAGCGGCAGTTGGTGAGAGCGAAACAGCTTTCCTTGGCAGACTGGAGTGAAGACTTGGACTTGCGAGTCGGTGAAGGGGGGGTGTCAGACGGAGCCGATCAGCAGACCTTAGCGATGTGGCCCCTTCTGGAACACGTCCGACAGATGGCGTCTCTAAATCGACACTTGGCACAGGAATGGTTGCCTCCGCAGCCGGCACATTCCGGTTGGCCCTTGGACTTCTGTTGGAACTTCCTGCGCTCCCGCTTTGTCTGGTGCACGTCATCGTCTTCACTGGAGGATGCCTCATCACTGCTGGCCTCTTGGTGATGCACTGGAACTGGCTTCCTAGCAAGACGCGGGCTGCTGGCCTTGCGGATCTCCTGGGCGGAGCGTTCAGCAGCTTCCGAGGCCACAGCCTCCTCAATGGCTTTCTGCACCGTGAGGTCTGGCTTGGCGAGGAGACGCCGTTGCAGATGGATGTCCCGGACCCCGCAGACGATTCGATCCATCAGGGCATCGTCTAAGTCTCGGAACTCGCAGTGCATTGCAGCCTGTCGGAGGGCGGTGGTGTAGTTGTTGATTGACTCCCCCTCTGCCTGGTTCCGGTGGTAAAACGCATGGCAGGCAGCAATATTGGACGGCTTTGGCGCGTAGTGGTTGCGGAGCTTCTCTTGAATCGTGTCCCATGGTGTTGCCTGGACTGCTTCAGGCGCAACCAATGCTCGGGCCGTCTCAAACACCTCAGGCCCACAGAGGCTGAGGAATAGGCCCCGCTTCCGTTCCTTTGTGGCAGAAGCAAGATCCAAACTCATGACTTCCTGATGTACTGCAGACAATGCCAGAGATCAGGAAGTCATGAGTTTGGATCTTGCTTCTGCCACAAACTCGCAAGGGGGCCTTAGGCAAGCCAGTCTCTTTCTCTCTCAGGCTCAGTTAGCCCACCTGTAATATGGGGGACTATAATACACACTAACTTTACAATGTTATTGTAAGGATTACAAGAGGGTAATGTATGTGAAAGCACTCTGAATACTTAAAAGCACTATACAAGTGTCAAATATGATTACTACTTTCAAGCTGCTAATGGAAAGATGGTTCTGAGGAGCTGAACAATCATGTGAAGAATGGAAGATTTGCTGGTTTCAACACCAACTGCATCTATTGCTGCTGCTAAAAGTTCCATGGTGCCGTCTATAGAGATGAAATGGTCAATTAACCGGTCTGAACGTGTCTATTCCAGGAAAAGAAATATTTTTGGCTAAGGGAGTTTTATAGATAAACGTAGACCGTGGGGACTTATCTTTCACTGTAAAGCTATTTTTTCCATTTAGAATCCTGACATTTAAGCCAAATGACACTGTGATCCCATAGAAATTGACTCCAAAGTAAGTCCACTTGAGTTCAATGGGACTGTTGCTGCAATACTAAGCACATTTAGCGGAGGAGGAGTGTTTAAACAAACTTACCAAGGGAGTAGTGTTTCATACCACTTTAAACAGTTATGGCTTCCCCCAAAGAATCCTGGGAACTGTAGTTTAAGGGAGCTGAAAGCTGTTAACAGACCCCTGTTCCCCACACATAACTACAATTACCAGAGATTTAACAATCAAACCCACTTCCCAGGGAATTCTAGGAACTGTGAGGGGAAGAATGGCCTCTTAACAACCCTGAAATGACTACAGTTCCCAGAATTCCTTGGGGAAGCTATGACAGTTTAAAGATGGGGCCTTGCTAGTCACTTGGAAATAGGCTGCTTTTTCTATTAAGATAGCCTACCCCTGCCCACACTCGACAAAAGGCCCATTTTTACAACTTGCATAATAAGGAAGCACTCCATAAAACATATTTTTCTAGCCACAATATCCAGTAATTAAGAAAGGAGGACCAACTAGGCTACCACACAGATAATTTTTCCATGGGTATGTCAATAAATTAAGATGCCTAATGCATGTAATTAGTAAAGCTTTGATTACTGTCTGTACAGGGTGCTGGACTACAAGAGCTATTCAATAATTAGTTTGTTAATTGACTCCATCCAGGGATGAAACTAAGCTGCTGGAAATTAGAAACCAATCCCTTTGGCATTTAATCAGAAATATTAATAAAAGGAAGGGGTGCCGGGGATAGAACAAATGCGACAAAACCCCACATTTGTCCTCCTGTATAAATATTTAGAAGTTTCTCCTTCCAAGGAACCTGAAAAACCTGCACAGCGGCTAGAAAAGGTTCATCTGAATCTCTTATTTATTATCTGAAAAGAGGGCATACATTTGCAAGTGACACAGAGCACATGCAAATGCGTGTTGTCTTTTGTGTGGAGGTCAGAGGGCCCAAATCACATAGAGAATACCCTGTTGGCACCCTTGGTTTTTGAAGTTACAAGTACAATAAAACATCCTCTATAACACCCAGGAGGCAACAGAGGAATCTAGCACATCCAGAGTGTTGATTTTAATCAACATAGGGAACAATCCTTAACCCTGGCCAGAGTGGCAGCAAAAGGCTCAATGGAACAGCACAGCCAGCCTGCTGTTTGGGGAAGCACACTCTGGCATTCTCGCTGGCAAAGCGAAAACCTGTGCCAAGGTGGACCGGGTGTTTGTATTGCTCTGTTAGATTGCAATCTTATTGAAGCTTTCTTCTAGGAAAGCTGCCATAGCCAGGCCCATAAGTCCTCATGCCATATTCCAGCAGCTCTACAAACACTCATTGCCTGTGGTATCTATGGCACCCATAGACTTGATACCCTGAAATAAAAGCCATAGACTTGATACCCTGAAATAAAAGCCATTACTGCATCATTTGATACAGAGGCTAGATTTGCATATTTCAGGACAGGATTTGCCATATGCAGTGCTGTTTTTCTAGAAAAAGAGGTGCTGGAACTCACCACAAATACCTCCCTTATTCTCTTATAATGGCAATGACGCCCTCCTGAGAGGTGCCGGAACTGAGTTCCAGAGAGTTCCAGCTGAAAAAAAAAGCCCTGGTCATATCACACTGGGAACTTCGTAATCAATAGACAAAAAACCACGTGAGTTTATGACACTTCCTTGCCTATTTACCCGAAGGCAATTTTAACCTGAAACAGGTGACTGGGACAAATGTGGTAATAAGCTTCCCAGACACAAGAGCTAGATAGTCAAGCTCTTGTGGTTCTTTAACGGTCAGACAGAGAAGATTGGCTTGTCAGAGATGTGGCAATACAGAATTATCTGGCCCTTCAAGTATTTTCCTTATCTAATCAGCAGGTAAGCAGTGCTAATATGGAGAAAAATTTCCATCTTTTCAAAAGGCAACCTGATGGTTTCCTCCGAGCTGTGAGCCTGCCCTGTTAAAGATAGCCCAGTTGCTGCCTCTATGAGACGTCTTACTGCAACAAGCCATGGGCCTGGTTCGTATGTCGCAGGAAAGCAAACACCTTGGCCCATGGTTGAGAAGGAGAGAGCACTTAGCATGATCTTGGGTTCAGATGATGCTTTGGCCTACCTGCTGCACCACACTGAGCTGAAAGGACTGGGGAGGAGTGTGACGGGCGCATATTTGCGCTAAGTCGCAATTTGGCTTAGTGGTATGTGCAAATGCAGCCATATATGTACAAATGCAAAAATGAAATTAGAAAGGTGTCCCTAATCTACCATCAGTGTTCCTTTTCCTGATTAATACCAAACACAGAGGCGGACTTAGGGCAGCATGACCAGTTCTGCCACACTGGGCACCAAGCCTAAGGGGTGTTGCAGGGCATTGCAACTATGACGTAGTGAACTGAGCAGAACAGAAGGTGAGAGGGTGAAAACTTTGGCCTTGCACAGGGCTCCACTGAAATTTGAAAGAGCAAAGTCCGCCCCTGCCAAACATCAGTGTTGTGAATTAGTACTGTACTGTATTTTGATTTCATGGATCACTTATAGTTTAGATGTGATTTTATGACTGCAAATTTTTCTTGTTAAGCCACTTAGAAATTATCACTATTTAAATTGTATAAGTAAGTAAAATAAACATGTCTTAAGACTGACCAGAATGGTTTTAAGAAGCCGAACAGAAATTGGACGCTGCATCAGGCAGCTCTTTGATCTGAAGCAACAGGGCTTTTCTTCGGTGTTATTTCCATGCAGAAAACGATGCACTGGTGATGTTTTCAAATGCTAAAGCTTTTCTATATAACACGGCCATCATCATCATCATCAAGCTGCCCAAACATTAGATGTCCTACAATTGCAAAGTTAATAAACCATGCCTCCAGATCAGCAGCGGAGCAAGTCAATCAGGTGCCTGGGGTGGCGCGCATGCCCTGTGCCCAGGGACAGGGCCAGCCGCCCGCAGGGGCAGGGCAAGCCAGGGCAGGACGCTCCGTGGGGCCTCCGAGGAGTCTACCTGCCTCTTCCCACTCAGCTGCCCTACAGCTGAGGGAGAGGCGGCGGCTGGACCGTCTGGGGAAGCCCGGAGCCTGTGGGTGCCCAAGCCACCATATCACTCCCAGGAGAGACGCATGGCTCAGGCGCACTGCAGGCCCCGCAGTGAGTGCCGCCCGGCATTTTGTCACCCCTCTCAATGGTAACACCCAGGGCAAACCGCCCCCACTTCCTCCACCCCTGCTCCAGATATCAGCCTGAGTCAGCATAGCCATTGATTTGGGACGATGGGACTTATTTTTATTACTATTATTAATAATAATAGAATTTATATACTACCTTTCCTTTCAAGAAAGAGGCCATTCAAACAATTAAGAGCCAACAGCAAAATAACAAGAAGAAACCAAATTATTATTTTTAAAAAATGCAACTCCCCATAATGCAACTACATTAATCCATGATTACAATATAAAATAACTCAAGCCCATTAACACAGCATAACCGTTAAGACAACAATCAAAGCAGGAGATTCAAGTCAGAGCAGGGAAATGCTTGTCTAAACAGGTGAGGCTATGAGAACTGTCAGAATGGATCCCAGATTTCGGCAGGGAAAGCATACGGTGCCACCAGCAAAAATGCCCACCTCTGTGATGCCACCAGCTTGATATAATCACCAGGCCACGGCAAAACTAAAGAGAGTCAAATTGTTGGTCATATTGCCCTTACTGAGTACTGGAGGCAGTGAGAGCCCCAAACCTCCTGATCACTGCTCCCAATTGCATTTTTTGTTGTTAAATAGCATTTGGGACAAGGCAGCTCAGAGTACCTGGATTGCACCAGGCTGGGGAAACCTCCCATAGGCTTACAATCTAAAAGACAAAGCTTTGGCCCTTCAAACACAGGAAACTGGTAGGCAGAATTGAAAGCCCAGATCTAAGAACAAAGACCAAAGGGAAATTGCAAGATTATTTCAGGCCGGAGGTGAAATGACACGACACTTTTTGATATAGAGGTTTGTCTTTTCATTTGTTCTTCTTTTCAGATACTCTCTTGCTCCTGCCCCATGACCCGTTCACTCGCTTTTATTTGGACAACGATGTGGTAACTGTCTAGACCTCCCATGCTATCACATTTCCTGAAGCTCGTTTGGGCATGCAGGGTTTTTAATTCTTACTGAAGACCGCGGAGTAATTCCTATTTTAAGCACTTGGGCAGGCTGAACTAACATTCCTGCTCTTCCAAAATTACATCAGTATCCATTTCACAAAAGAGCAACTGGTTAAAAGCCACGCTGGTAAACGGAGAAAGTATAGGTAACTATTTATAGATTTTTGCCCGAATCGTGCAAGCAGCAATACATGCTTAGATAGCATTGTCTTCATCCCGCTGAAGACTACATAAACCACACAGTATTATACCATTTCAGGATGCAATCCTATACACATTTAACTGGGAGAAAGGTCCATCACTACCAATGAGATTTACTTAGGAGTAGACATGTATAAAATGCCATCCCCCCCCCATGCAACAAATCCATGTTTAAATAAATAGGAATAAATTCTATGTTTTTCTCTCATGGCTAACTTTTAATAAGGGATGGGGGGAAGGGAGGGAAGGGAGAGAAATTATATTCAGTTTGTATTTAAAATGCAAATTTGGACTTTCCAGAACAAAATGTGAGCAAGAACAGCCACCCTTTGAAATTCACATTTCTCCCAATTTTGCAATGCAGTTTTCCAGCCAAGTCATGTGTGTAAGAATGCATATATTGTCGTAAAGTGCATATATATATGCATATAAAATATTAGAATGCTTTATATTAGGAGACGCTGCTTTGCAAAGGCCAAAACTGCATACAGTGGTACCTCGGTTTATGAACTTAATCCATTCCTTGAGTTCGTTCTTAAACCAAATCCGTTCTTAAACCAAGGCACACTTTCCCTAATGAGGCCTACCTCTGCCGGTGCCCTTCCACCGTTCGGCTTCCATTCTTAGACCAAGGTAAAGTTCACAAACCAGAACGATACTTCCAGTTTTGCAGAGTTCGTAAACCAAATAGTTCGTAAACAGGACTGTTCGTAAACCGAGGTACCACTGTACAAACTTGTATAGGTTTGAATACATTCACACTAAAAGGTTGGTGAATTTTCATGGCTTAAAAAAAAATTGCAAACTAATGTGGAACTGTCCTGAACTTAAGATGGGGGGGGGGGATGAGAGAAACTGAAACAGACAGATTTGCCTACACCTTATGTGTGAGAAGGTACTGGGAAGCAACAGGCAATGCCAGATGAAATCTCAGAAACCAGGTGAGGGACAACAGTCCATCTCGGTCATCTGCTCTTTCTGCAGTTGTGGGCAGCAGAACAAATTATTCAAATGGTCAAATACGAAACCTTACTTTTGTATAACTTAAGCAGCTTGTGCAATTCAGCTTTTACCCAAGGGGCATTTGGATTACATGGGTCCAGAACCTTTTATTACATTCTTTAAAAAAAAATAAACAGCCTCTCTTTCTTGCATCTATTTGAGTTTTTTTGCACTCTGCAGCTAAGGAGCCCAGTCCTCTGATCAGAATGGTACCAATGCAAATGTTGCCATGCTTCATGAACTTAGTCCTAAATTAGTGCTGGGGGGGGAGCCTAACTCACTACAACGGAGTTTTTTCAGTGGTTGATATCTGTCTCCCATGGAGCTTTGACACAGGTAGAGCAGAAGAATAACCCCATGGTATTTGTTCAGTCAGCCAGAACAGACATTTGTGCTTACAGCATTCCTGTTACCATTCTCCACCATGGTCTTCATTATCCCTTGCTTGCCGATGTGATCTTGAGGGACACAGATTACAGATCAGTGGTACAGGGAAAAGAGAAGCACCTAAAGGCTATATACACTTCTGCATGGAAATACAGCGGTGCCTTGGTTCTCAAACGCCTTTGTACTCAAACAACTTGGAACCCAAACACTGCAAACTCGGAAGTAAGTGTTCCAGTTTGCGAACTTTTTTTGGAAGCTGAATGTGCTCTGTTTTGAGTGTTATGCTTCCGACTTGGGTGCCACACTTCTGTTTTGAGTGTTACACTGAGGTCTGTCTGTTTTTGCTATTTATTTTGTGTTTTTGTGGCTCTTTTTTGTTTTTGTGACTGTGTGGAACCCAGTTCAGCTACTGACTGATTGACTGTGTGACTGAAGTACATTATTTATTGCTCTCATTTTATGGATCAATGGTCTCATTAGATAGTAAAATTTACGTTAAATTGCTGTTTTAGGGGTTATTATTTTTAAAAGTCTGGAAGTGATTAATCCATTTTGCATTACTTTCTATGGGAAAGCGCGCCTTGGTTTTGGAACGCTTTGGTTTTAGAACGGACTTCTGGAATGGATTATGTTTGAGAACCAAGGTATCACTTTGCAAAAAGCAAAGAACCACTTAATGCAGATCGGCTGGAACAGAATGGGAACTGGTTCACACATGCCAGTTCATCACTTGATGGTTGCAACATCGAGTGATAATTTATTATTTATATATATTACATTTTTTATCCCCTATTTCCTGCAAGGAACTTAAGGTGATGTATATCATTCTTCCTTCCCCCATTTTATCCCCACAACAACCCTGTGAGGGAGTGTTAGGTCACCAGTGAGCTTCATGGCTCGGGAAGGGGGGGGGGTCTAGAACCCTGGTCTGACTCTAACCACTAGACCACAATGTGCACATCAACGCACAGATGAGTGAGCCATCACACACTGAACACCAAAAGCAAAACTTTTGCACTGACCCGCAGAGTGCTTTTCAATGGAATATGTCCCAACGTTCAGCTGACGGTCATCAACTAATCTCCAGTGCTGCATTCTCATGTGTGTACCATTCATTATAAGAGTAATATTTTTTTAAAAAATGGTTAAATGCAGATGAGGATTGTATCTCCACACTTTACACAAACTGTCAGGAAAAGTCCCCCTTTGCTGCGTTTCAGCCATCTCTTCGAGCGAACAAAAGGCTTGACAGAGCATGATGAGAGTTAATTAATGTGTATTAAATTATCTTGGGAACGCCTTCTCAGATAAATTGCTCTGTGATCCATGATCTGTTCCTCTTCTGACTGACTGCTTCTGTGCAACGGCCTTTTGTGCATTTGCTTATTTTAATAAGAAAAATACTCACCCGGCATTTGCTCCACATTAAGACAGCAATGTGCCAAAGTTTCCTGTACCGGTACATTTCAGGAGCAAGGCCATGTTATTTTCTAGTTTGGCAAAAGCAAACTGGCCGGGGGGCAGGCACGCAGGAAAGAAGGGTGACACAGAGTTGTTGGATTTTAACTTCACAAAGGGACATGATGTTCATTTCCAGAAATTGCTCTTCAAATATGTTTGTCAAATGCACCAAGCTGCCAACTTGGTCCATATGCCACACAGTCAACACTAGGCCAAAGTGCTTTGTGTACCTTTTCAGTATACAGAGGTTTGGCGTACACAGGTTTGTCCCAATGACTGCATCTCTGAAACTGAATGGATACAACACCTCAACTTCACTGCAGTTCAAAGCTAGGCATGTCTACTCAAAAGTAAGTCTCACAGAGTTCAGCTGGACTTACTCCCAGAGACAGTGGTGTAGCGTGGGGGGTGCAGGGGGGGCCGGCCGCACCGGGCGCAACATCTGGGGGTTAGGGGTAGGGGGCGCAAATCCACAGGTTAGGGGGCGCAAATCCACGGGTTAGGGGGTGCAAATTACTTGCCTTGCCCCGGGTCCTGACAACCCACGCTACGCCCCTGCCCAGAGAAGCAGCCTTAGTCACCCATGCAATCCAGGTTTTAAGAACCCCATTACAGTGAATGTTCAGAATTTGATGACTCCCTAGGAACTCAGAAACAGTTGCTTTTGACTGTTGCCTGAATGCAATTCTGAGTCCAAAAAGAGAGTAACTATATCTATGTAACAGTTACAATGTAATTGGTCAAACATTCTAGTCCACAGTATTGCATGAATTTTATTATTACAGTCACAGACCGGTTCCAGCTCACTTACAATATCAGGAAAGTCATAAAACATAACAGGAATACATTGAATTGCAATTGGGTATAACAGAGACAATACAGCTATAGCAGCAGTTAAAAATATATATTAAATCTTGATCACTAAAATAAAAACTAAAATTGTCATTTAAAACCTTAATCCTTCTGGTAGTACAGCTTGTTCCCTAAGTTTTATGGCAGTCGCACAGAATTTGGCCACCCGTAGTGTGATTTCTAGATCCTTGTCCTCTAGCAGGTGTTTTAGACATTGAAGTTCGGACCCATTTGGAGATTTTTGTATAACAGGAGTGATAAGTACCGAGCTTATATCCCCGTAGAAACGGCAGCGTAACAAGACATGAGAGACAGTTTCTACCTCCACCAAGCCGCAGGGGCAAAGTCATTCCAGGTATGGTTTACCCTCGAATCCGCCCAGAAATAAGGCAGATGGCAGCACGTTGAATCTAGCGAGGGTAAATGACCAACACAGTATTGCAGCTTGGAAATAGTTTCTGAAAAAGGTGGACATGCTTCACGTTCCAGCATAAAGAAGACAGTATTTAGCACATAGGGGCTATCTCCAAGGGCCATGGGTGCTTGGGTACCCACAATAATATAACTGTGGAGGCTGGGCACACATAAAGTAAATGAGCACAGGCAGCAGGCGGCAACAGCACTGCCTTTGAGAGAGAAGTTCACCTCCAACCTCCACAGCCAGGCACCCTGTTCGGGCAGGGCAGGGCTCAGACATGGAGGCAAAGTCTCTCTGCCTCTGAGTCTGAGCCCCTCCCCAAGGAAATGGTGCCTCGCTGGCTGCGGACAGAAGGAGGAAGAGGAACCACCGCTGCGGCCGCCGCAACGTGGACATGCGATGTCACAAGCACACACCTGCACATAGTGAGTGTGATATAACATTTCCCCAGCCACTCTGGGCAGCTCCCAAGAGAATATCAAAAACACAATAAAACATCAAACATTAAAAACTTCCCTAAACATAGCTGCCTTCAGATGTCTTCTAAAAGTAAAATAGTTGCTTATTGCCTTGACATCTGGTGGGAGGGCATTCCACAGGGAGGGCGCCACTACCGAGAAAGCCCTCTGCCTGGTTCCCTGTAACTTGGCTTCTCGCAGTGAGGGAACCGCCAGAAGGTTCTCAGTGCTGGACCTCAGTGTCCGGGCAGAACAATGAGGATGGAGATGTTCCTTCAGGACATTCTCTACATGTATTCTCTATATTTCAGATACTTCTATTGATATGGAGGTCAGAAATATATTTTTCCACCCAAACTTTTTTTCACAGGTAGTCATTTCTACAATTAAGTAGTCAAGACCTAATGAGAAGACTTCATAACTATGAAGAATGCATGTCTCTTGTGTATTACTCTCAAAATCCCAAGAGGGTATAATCTGTTTCTTATTATCTTTAGATAAAACACTGTCTCTACTTTACAAGTGAAAACAAAGGCAGCCTTTAAACAACTTAAAAGTTTGATAGGGCTGCAACAGGGGCAGCTATCATTGGCTTTTGCTGGTTGACTGAGATTTTATATATATATATGCGCAAAATGAGTTTTTGGCTCTGTGCTACATGAAATGCTACAGATGACTATAATTATTACTTATACTGGTTCATCGATTTAATGCTCTGACTTGATTAGCCTTAGCTGAATTACTAGCACTCAAAAATATGTTTCCAATATTCCTCTGCAACACAATCATTTTCAGAAGATGTGATTGAGAAAGTTTCCATGTGTTATGTTGTAACCAAATGGATATTCCAATATTAAATAGGACATTTTATTACGAGCTGTATTTCTCTTCCTGGTATTGCTTCATGGAACGTTAATTCTCACAAATACATCACAGGGGAGCATTCTTACATTCCATCATCACGTCAACAGCATATGAATGATGTCGGTCGGTATTTTCCAGTCTAGAAACTTTTGGGTCAATCCCTGTTTCAAACATTACTTTTTACAGCTAATCATCTAAAAGACACAGCAACGTTGTTGTTGTTTAAAAAACTGCAACAACACATTGATCCCATTTCAATCATTTAAATTTATAACCCCATCCATTCTGAAGACGCAAAGCGGATAATTCCAAGTCATTTAAATAGAAAGCAAAGTGATACTATACCCCTGTGCATGTCTACCTATAAGTCTGACTGAATTCAGTAGGAGGCAAAGTGCATTCGATTGCCCCCGAAGAAAAGGAATTTAAAAACCAAGGATGTACAACTTGTGGCTTACCAAGCCATGCACAGCCCACCAGTTAGGAAAGCTTGTCTACCAACTACTTAATAAATTCTCATGTTTTGTTGCCTGCCCGGTATTGCAAAAACAGAGCAGGGGAAGATGAAAGGGTGTTTATGAAGCACCACTAGATGTCAAAGTTATTTATTGCCAAGACAGTTCACTGACATATCTCAGGCTTTTGATATCAAGCAGGCGCCTTCACTGTACTTTTTTGGGCGCCTGCTAAAAACATTTTTTGTTTAGACAAGCCTACCCAGACATTTAGAAAGTTGGTGTGAATTTCATTCTCTTTTCAGTCTATTTTTATTTTAACTTTTCAAAAGTCTTAAATTGCTTTTATTCATCTTTCTGATTGATAATTTTATTGTTTTGTCTTTTTGTAAACCACTTTGAGGTTTGTTTTTACAATAAAGCAGTGCATAAATTTTATGAAATAAAAATGAAGAAGCAGGCTCACAGCTCGGATACGAGAGCTTCTCAAGCAAACTGCAAACCTGATTTAAATAATAATAATAATGCTGTTTTCATTGCCTTTTTCAATAATAATTGAAAGAGCGTCCACTTTAAGTAATCTGCAGGGCAACAATACAGACAGAACTTTAGCTTGCGTATCAGCTGTCGACTTTCCTCAAGTAAGAACCTGTATGGTAAAGCATCACCTTGGCACAGAGACATTTTAGCTCATCAATTTGTCGCTTTCTGGAACTTTTTATTACAACAAAAAGCTGGGATGAACAACTTTCTTCCTGAGAGCTGCTCTAAACTCCAGACAGCAGCTCAGAGGTAGAGAAGGGTAGAAGTCTATTTCACCACAAAATAGGCCCCTTCCCAACTGATAAAGCTTTATGATAACGTTTGAAGACATCTGGCAAACACAGATTCCCAAGTTATAGAGCACATGGGCTGAGACTAACATTGCATAGAAATATGTGGACGGACATGTTCCACGCATCTTATTTGAGGATTCTGTCACTTTACAGTAGTGTAATCTCCTGTTTTCCTGCCTGTCCTGATTACAGCTTGATAACAGTGGCAAATCGTTTACTAGCTCCTGACGAAACCTTTGATAGGAGTGCCAGATAAATTCTCAGCACCTAACCCTCGGGCTAGCAGTTACCTGTTCTTGTCCAAGAGCACTTTGCTCATTAAGCATGTAAAATGCCTACAAGTGAATTTAATGTTTATTTTTAAAAAAAAAATAGGTGTAAGTTTCTAATGAAAAAATAATAATATAAAAAGGCAATGAATCTTACAGGTGGCTCCACAAAAAAGTTCAATGTGAAGACGAATTAGAAAAGGCAACGGCGAAAAGAAGGGGTTGTTAACAATTTTTGGCATTCACCAATCCTCTGGGGGCCACAAGTCAGCAGTGGGTGTGGTCATCACACAATCTGCCTCTCACAAATCCTGCATAGACACACAGACCAACAGATGCCACCCCCTACTCAGTTGATATGCGCAGAAGTGGGTTAATGACCCTGTCTCCGCTTATCAAATGTTTGAGCAGACGATCAGGATACAGGTCATTTTCTATCCCCATCAGGGCGCTGGACTCTGCCCATCCCAGTGCCATGTGTACTGTAAGGGAAGGGAAACTTTTGTCCTTAATACCTGCACAGCTGAACCAAATATTTTGCATAAGTACGGGCTGTCTGCCCAGAACTGGCAGCCCTGAAGATGAAAACGCAGATTCACCAGGGTGCAAGCTAAGTTCACGATCGAAAGGTTTTTCACATTTGAGCACAATTCTGGTAATGTGAAAACACAAGTAACGGATCAACGAAAATGATCCAAGAAACGTTCCACAACCAATTCACAGCACAATCTTATGTTGTGTGGTGCAGTGGTCAGAGTGCTGGATTAAAACTGGGGCAACTCAGCCATGAAGCTCACTGGGTGAGCCACTAGTATGGCGGGGTGGGGGTGGGGAATCCATTTATGCTCCCTTGAGCTCCTTGGAGGAAAAGTGAGACATGAGCATAATAAACAACTACTCAGAAGTGACTCCCATCATGTTTCCATAGGGCTTGGTCCCAATTAAGGCTATAGGATTGCAGGTCAAGCCTTTTGTTGCTGCTTCTTTGGGGAAAAGACAACTAAGGAGGGGAAGAATGGCAGAGGTTCATAAACTTATGAATGGCACAAACAGTGAATAGATGGTCTTTTTATTTCTTTCCTCCTTTTCTCATACTACTAGATGTCAGCACCACCTACTTCATTGACCAGCAGGAGGTTAATGACGATGAAGGGAAGGTCTTCACAAAATGCATACAGTGGTACCTCTGGTTATGTACTTAATTCGTTCCGGAGGTCCGTTCTTAACCTGAAGCACCACTTTAGCTAATGGGGCCTCCCGCTGCTGCTGCACCGCCAGAGTACAATTTCTGTTCTCATCCTGAAGCAAAGTTCTTAACCCGAGGTACTATTTCTGCATTAGCGGAGTCTATAACCTGAAGCATATGTAACCCGAGGTACCACTGTAGTTAAATTATGGAATTCTCAATTGCAAGGCACGGCAGTGTTTGGCTTTAAATAACTCAATGGAACCTCCATCTTCCATAGCAGTACACCTGCGATTAGCAGGTGCTGGTCATAAACAAAAGGATATCCATCACCTTCATTCCTTGCTGGTGACAGATAAGAAATGGATGGACCAGGATTCAACCCAACAAGGCAGTATGGATGCTGCATCATGCCTGAAATTCCACAGAGCGCTGCATGCGCACAACTCCCATGAATTTCAATAGCGCATGCGCACACACAACTGCACGCCAGAGCTACAGCCCAGCGTAACTGGCTGCAGAACTAGGACGGCTCGCTTTGCTGGGACACAAAAATAAAAATAGCTTTTGGGAGCGTCCCCCTGCCCCCAAAGTGGAAGGGGAGGCAGAGCTTTCGGAGGGGGAGCAGCCAAGCAGCTTTTACCTTGTAACTGAGCTGATAGAGACTCCTGGTGCTGCTGGTATTTGAGGGCCACAGCCTCCGCCTTCCTCAGCTGGCTCTGCAACTCGTAGTAGAGCATTGCCCCATAGATGAAGCCGAAGACCACGATGAGGAGCAAGAGGGACTGCAGGATCCGCTTCTGCTTTCGGGAACACATCCCGTTGCCCATAGTCCCTTCCTCTGCGGATCCAGGGGCCCGTCCACCTCAAGGCTCCTCTATCCTCAGACAGCAGCCGGAGCACGAAGCAGCATCAGGGGCAACGGCCCAGGCGGCGGAGGGGCCTCGGAGGAGAGCTGGACCCATAGACCCTGGCGCCAACTTTAACCTACCTGAGCCAAGTTTTGCCAGGCACCTGGGGTCACGCAACAGGCAGGCCGAGCTGGAGGGCTGAGATTTCAAGGGACCCCGAGGAGCAGGCAGCCTTTCGGGCCCCCGGGAAGGGTCAAGAGCGGCTCCAAAGGCCCCCTGCCCTCTCCACGGAGTCAACGCTCCCTTTGCGCGTACGCGGAGGGGGAAGCCTTGGGAGCGCGGATGTCCGGAGGCAGCTCAGAAGAAGCCGGGCATCTCCAGGCACCTCTGCCCTTGCGAGCGATGTTCTTTGAGTCTCTAGGAGGGCGATCCCCAAGGTTATTCTGCAAAGATCTCTCCCGATCTGCTTCCCCCCAGATCGGTTCGTTCTAACTGCAGGAACAGTTCGAAGGGACGGGCAGGATCCGATCCCCCAACGTTCCCTTGCTTCTGCCCGTCTTTCCCTCCAAGATCCGTTTCTCCCAAGCGAAGTTTTCCTTTGCAAGATCTCCCCGGGGATCCCTTTCCCTTCGCCCTCCCTCGGGGAGCTAAAGTTACTTTCTTCCGGCGGCTGATGCTCCTCCGCTGATGGGGGCAAGAACTTCCCTTCCCCTGCCTTGCCTTGGCCACCTTCCAGCCCCGCACATACGTGTCACCCTCCACTCCTAGGCTGCTTTCGCCAGCGGGATCCCCGAAGGAAGTCCCGCTCAGGCCGCTGCCTCATTGGGCGCAGCGCTAGCTTCTCCCCGCCCCTCGGGCCGGCAGCGGTGGCGCGCATTGGACGCAGGCCGCGTCCGTCGGGACTACCGAGAGCCGCGCTTTCCAGCTCCCGCCCCGCCCCGCCGCTTTTCCCAGCCTGGAGCGCGCGGGAGAATTGAGGAAGTGGGCGGGGTCACGGGAGCAAGGCGCTCGCCGAACTGGAGGCAGCGGGGAAGGGTCCTCGCCTGTTACAGCGGGTCTTTGCCCGCGCGCCGCTTTAGAAAGCAGCGTGTGTGGGGCTTGGCCATCTCCCACTTTAGTATAATAATAATAATAATCTTTAATACGGTCAATGACCAGCAAGGCCCACTTTAGTAAAACTTCTTTATATTTATATGAGGGTATAAATCTTTTTTATTAATTTTCCATAATTTTTATTAAATTTCCTGTTTTACATTCATTTCAACAACCTTAAAATATCAATGACTTCGCTTCTTCTCTTTCCATGCTTCGTTTCGCATAACATAAAACCCTGCAAATTTTATATAAACTAAACCATAGAGTATTCCATTATTACATCCATCAAAACTAATTTACACTATTGAATTTATCTTAATGCTGCCCACGTTTTCAAATATACACAATTCCCCCTCCCATATAGTCAACAAACATTTTCCAATCTTCTCCAAACGTATGTTCTTGTTTTCTTCTTCTATATGTTAGGTCTGCAAGCTGCACATATTCCATCAGTTTAAGTTGCCATTCTTTAGTTGGGGCTAAGCTCGTTTTCCATTTTTGGACTAACAAAACACAGGCTGCAGTAGTGGCATACATAAACAACCTTTTTTGACACCTGGAGATTTCTGTCTGAATTATTCCCAACGAAAAGGACTGGTTTTTTTTAGAAAAGTACTTTTAAACATTTTTTTTTCAATTCATTATGAATTATTTCCCAATACTCTACTCTTTTACCCTTTTACAAGTCCACCACATATGATAGAACGTACCCTCAGTTTTAATCTCTTTTTTAGAGGAAATGTCACCCATTTATTGAATCGATTTCTCATTCGATTAAATTTTCATGAAAACAATAGTTGGGTGTTTTCAAAGAAATAAACTAAATATTGGTATGGGAAGGGGTTTGCATCCTCGTGAGAATGGGATCTGCAGGATGCCTGCTACTGCAGATGTTCCACTGGGTCTAAAAATAAAAATGTGTTGATCCGTTGTGTTTAACTGAGGGGTACCCTTGCTCGGCTCGGTCCCTGCAGTTCGAAAGCACATCAAGTGCAAGTAGATAAATAGGTACCACTCCGGCGGGAAGGTAAATGGTGTTTCCGTGCGCTGGCCACATGACCCAGAAGCTGTCTGCGGACAAACGCCGGCTCCCTCGGCCAGTAAAGCGAGATGAGCGCTGCAACCCCAGAGTTGTCCACGACTGGACTTAACGGTCAGGGGTCTCTTTACCCTTGCGCTAGTTGATTGCTGGCTGGCACTGAATTTGGTATCACACTTGAGAGTCAATAATTATTTGCTGCCCGAATATTTTTAATCCTCCTGTTTGAAGCAGTACTCATATGCTTTGCCTCTTTTCATGTAAAACAATCTGATCTTTTTCTACTTCCCTGTGTGAAATAGCCTTTGTTGGGCTTAACAGTTAAAGGGATGTCCTTACAGACTCCATGCAAACGGGTCCATTCCTCTCAGTAGTGTACATTCCTCTCAGTAATATACAGTAGTGTACTCTGCTATAACTTCTGCCTGAGGCAGAACAACAACCCTGGAAGCCTGCCTCCCAGAGAGTTGTAAGTAAGCCTTATTCCTGGACTGTCTGCTGTTGAGTCCCACTGCACTGCCCAAATTACAAGTTTACTGTACCTATAAGACCAGTTTACCTACGAGATTTGCCTTACCCCACATGTGCCCACTAGACCACTTCAGTCAGGGGAATTGGCACTACTAGAGATGCCACATAAGACCAGTTCTGTGTTTGTAGACGCCTTCATTGTACTGTTTTCAGCACCTACTAAAACATTCTTGTTTAGAAAAGCCTACCCAGATGCTTAGAAAATTGAGGCATATTTTAACCCTCTATAGCATTTTAACTTTCTGTATGTTTTAACCTATTGCTCATATTTCTCTCCCCCCTCCCTTGATTTTCCTGTTTTATCTTTTCATAAACTGCTTTGAGGGTTTTTTATTCTACAATCAAATGTTGCCTGAATTTTATGAAATAAAGATAGATAGTTATACCTTGGGGGTGACAAATTATGAACCTATTGATCTTGGGTCATAGCTCAGTTTAATCTTCTAGACTATTTATTTAGTATTCTTGTAGATAGTTTTTTTTTTGTCAAAAGTGAGCTCAGAGCAGTTTATATCAAAAGAAACATCAATAAGAGTGACAAAAATGGGGAGGGAAAAATTGAGAACCAGCAGCCTTATGCAGTGCTGTTATTTCCCTAGTTTTGCCTTAAGTAATGTTCCTGGCAGGGATGCGGGTGGCGCTGTGGTCTAAACCACAGAGCCTAGGGCTTGCCGATCAGAAGGTTGGCGGTTCGAATCCTTGCGACAGAGTGAGCTCCCATTGCTTGGTCCCTGCTCCTGCCAGCCTTGCAGTTCGAAAGCACGTTAAAGTGCAAGTAGATAAATAGGTACCGCTCCAGTGGGAAGGTAAACGGCATTTCCGTGCACTGCTCTGGTTCGCCAGAAGCGGCTTAGTCATGCTGGCCACATGACCCGGAAGCTGTACGCCGGCTCCCTCGGCCAGTAAAGCGAGATGAGTGCCGCAACCCCAGAGTCATCCACGACTGGACCTAACGGTCAAGGGTACCTTTACCTTTAATGTTCCTGGCAATCACAAAAAGCTTTTCATAAACTGAGCTGGTAAATCCAACTGGAATTCCTTGCAAACCCTCAGTTCCTCTGCAGAGCTAATTATCATAATTTCTGGGGCTTCCGGTCTGATCGCAAAGTGGAAGCAAGCGGGTTTTCCCTCGGGAGAGGGAGGCCAGCTCCTAGAAGATAAAAGGGGGTGCTAAAAGGGCGCCTTAGCCCCCCAAAACCCCACTGAAAGGATATTCAGGGGGTCTGTTTCGAGGATTCTTTGGGTGAAGCCATGTTCTTTAAAAGAATGGTGTGCAAACAATTTTGTGTGTATAGTTTTATAAGGCTGCACTTAGGCTATAATTGCTGCATTGTATGGAAATGCTCTTTAAAAAACCAAGCCTTTTAAATCTGAGCACAGTGTGGAATGAGCAGGAAAAGGTTTTTGCTTCTTCCCTTGTCATAACATGAGAATTCAAGCTCTCCTGGTGTAATGCAGTAGATTCAGGGCAAACCAAAGCAAGTATTTCTTCATGTATCATTATCTCCTGGACTTCACGCCACCACATGATGTGGTGGCAACTGGCCTCACTGGCTTTAAAAGTGGAATACACACATTCAGGGAGGTGAGGCCTATCAACAGCTTTTAGTCACAGCAGCTAAACTGAGCCACATGAGGTTCAATAGATTATACCACGTCCTTGGGAACAGCTTGCTATATATGTGTGCTTGGGGACAAACCTTATGTTGCCTTTATGTTCCATTTATGGACTTCCTGGTACATCTGGCTTGGCCATTTTTGGAAACAGGATAGATGAGCCTGTGGTCTGACTCTGGCAGGGATATTATTATTATTATTATTATTATTATTATTATTTCATTCAATTTATATCTTGCCCTTCTTCCTGAAGGAGCCCAGAGCATCAAACATATCAATAATAAAAACTTTTTTAAACTTTTAAAAAACAATCTCAAGCATTACCAGCAACTGTGTCTTTCAGTCATCACATGCTTGGCTAAACAGGAATGTTTTCAATGTTTTCTCCCGCAAGTCAGTAATGAGGGAGACAGATGCACTTCACCAAGGCAGGCATTGCACAAATGGGGAGCCACCACTGAAAAGGCCCTGTCACAGGTCAGCTCCCAGTGGTGGCACCACCAACAAGGCCCCACCTCCTGGTCGAAGGGTCTTAGATGGCTGATATAGGGGAAAGTGCTGTTTTTGGTAGCTGGGACATAAATCCTTGAGGATTTTATATGCTAGCACCAACACCATGAATTGGGCCCAGTAGTACACCGGCAGCCCATGCAGTGCTTTCTGGATTGGTGACACTTGACCCCATCGGCCTGATCCACTTACCATCCTAACAGCCACATTCTGCCCTATGCCTTTAGGAGAAGGATATGCAAAAATGCACAGATTACAAAGAAATGCACACATTACAAACTTGATCACCATCAACATTCCTTCTAACAAAGAGCAGGTGGTCGGATTTTAAGTAAGTGCTTACACCTGTGTCCACACTTGCCTGACATTCTGACTTGGAGTGGGTCCCCAAGGCTAGTCTGTACAGAGATCTAAATGTAAACATGCCTACATTATTGGATTCTATTTGTGCTACTGGCTTGCAGAGAATGCTACAACCAGGAACTTGGCATGCTTGCATGGCCTATTTTCAGGCCTTAAATGTGTGCTCAGGCAAAGGTAAACAAATGGCTCATACTTCCCTGCTCACCTTTGAGAATCCTGACAAAAGCAAATGCTTCTTTGCACACAATGAAATGTGAAATTTACAAGGGTGGTAATGGCTCTACAGAGCCAAAGTACGTCTTGTGTTAGGAGCAGAATTTTAGTATCATATGTTTTTCGGCCCTTACTTAAAGGCCCAACTTAAAACTTACTTTTAAGGGGGGAGATTACTTTAGATTCATAGGTGTAGCTACATATGTACATCATACATGCATACATAATTTTATCTGTATGCTGCCTTTCCATAGTTGAGACCATGCCCAAGGCAGCTTACAACCTGAAACAAATTGTGAACATAACAAAAGTAGTCATAAACTGAAGTCCAGTTCCAAGGGCCTTCTGGCGGTTCCCTCACTGCGAGAAGTGAGGGTACAGGGAACCAGGCAGGGGGCCTTCTCGGTCGTGGCACCCACCCTGTAGAATGCACCCCAACAGAT